GACAGCACTTATCACCGATGAAACCTCACCAGTCTTGGCAGTCTGCAAATGGCGGGCAGTCGAGTTCTTGTCTGACTCGAGTGTGGCCATGCGTGCTTTCTGCTCCTCGAGCTGGTTGGTCAACTGCTCGACATCGGATTCGGCATGCTCCAGAAAACCTTGGAGTTTCTCAGTCTTGCTCCGCTCAGACCTGAGAACATCGGAGGTCTGTTGCAGTTCTGGCGTATACATGAGAGGATCGTCGGCGCATATACCCGCAAGACTTACGGGATTCGACCTGCTTCAAACGCTCCGCCGCTGCCTCAAGGGACTTCTTCTCCCCCTCAAGGCTGGAGATAACCTTGACCTGTTCTGCCACGCGAGCACGCAGTTCATTGACCTCCGTATCTGTGATAGCAGATAGGGCGAGAGGAGAGGTGGGGCCGGCATGCACTGGGCGTGGAGAAGCTATTGGCCCATGGTTAGCACTTGACGGCGAGCGAGCAGACGGTGCGGAGGGTATGGGCGGAGATGCCAGCGCAGACTGTGGAGGGCTTGGAAGGGATGGAGTTTGAGGGGTATCGACGCGTTCCAGCCCGGTCAGCCAGTGTGTATCAACTGGGCCACCGGCGTGTCCGTTGGATGAGAACCTGCAGTAGCGGACGTGAAGATGGCCTTCCAGTGAAGTGAAAGAAGTGCACGTACAGTTCGCCCGCATCTCGCCCATTCGTTGTAGGTTGTACCGGAGAGTGACTTTCAGCATCGGCAGGTGTGAAAGGCCTGGACGGCGGTGGACTTGGCGATGCGAGTCGCGAGTCGCCCGTGGTGGACGGCCCAACCGTCTTTTGCTGCTGCCTTTTCTTCAGCTGTTCGTAGCAACGAATCACGTTTCGTTAGGTTGAGACACCTGTACGTTGCTGCGAGCCGTACCATCGCCCGCGCCCGCGCCGCCTTCGCAGCCCTGTCATCTTCCGACATGTTGTCCCGGGAGCCGAATAACCACTAGGGGAGGAGAGCTATAGCCGTCGTAGATGGAGACCCTTGAGACGAGGAGATTAGAACCCGGCCAGCGAGCCCGCCAGATGCACCGGTGATGAGTGTGCAAGGTGAAGCCGTGCTCGCTGGTGCGTGTCAGAGGCGCGATCACGAAGACCGCGCCTTCGGAAATTCAGGATTTATTCCGTTGCCGTCCTCCCGGCGTTTTATCTCAGAAGGTGGATATTCAAGGGCTGGACAACTACATGGGGAGTAGACATATGTGATTTCCTACGCTATAATGCATCGAGAATATTAAAAACGCGGCAGAAACACAGAAGACATGTAGCACGGAGAAATATTGGATATGCCACAAGAAAGTGAGTCCGCTCCAAGGTTACAATTGGCACTGCAGATACTTTGTAAGGAGAGACACTAGGCGACGGCTGCATAACCGCACGCGGGTGGGACGTAAAGCAAGCCAATAAGTTGACAGTTGGCCGAAAACGAGACAATAAGACAACCTAGGGAAAGAAAGAAAGAGAAGAAAAAGCAAGGGTATGTAGACACGAAACCCGAATCAAACGATTTATGCCCAGACCTGTGCGAATCGCTTTGCTCAGTAGGTGCATCATAAACAATAAGGTATGACACTTACCCTGAGCGTGCTGTCCCAGCTGCCTGTGCAAAGTGCCATGCCATCAGCACTAACTCCCAAACAGCTAACGCGGTTCTCATGGCCAGTAAGCACTCCCACCCGCTCTCCTTTCAGGGTATCCCAAACATTGCAAGTCCAGTCGTCGTAACCTCCAAAGAGTACACGCCCGGAAATCGAGAACGCGACAGACGTAATACCGCAAAGGATGTTGTCGTGCGTGAAAGAATTCAGTTCGCGGTCCGCACGGATGTCGAACAGACGGCATGATGCATCGTCAGAGCCTGTCGCGAAGGACTCGCCGTTGGGGAAGAATCTGTGCGGATTCAATGAGACCACGACTTTTACATTTTGGATAGGACTCACGTAACGGCATTAATGTCTGATTCATGGCCAGTGAAAGTCTGCATGGCCTTCCCACTGCGGGTGTCCCACAGCTTGGCAGTGGCATCGCAAGCACCGGACACGAAGACGTTTTGATTCGGGCCCAGTGACAAACTTGAAGCAGTGACACGTCAGATTTTCAGTCAGTCATACACAATTTTCCCGTGCATACCTCATGACGTCGCCAGTGTGATCGCTGAATTCGACCACCCTGACACCGGCCTCAATGTCCCAGAGCATGCAAGTCATATCGCCGGAACTAGTGACAATTTGGCGATCATTGATGAAGCGACAGCAGCTGAGGTAGCCCGAGTGAGCACTAAGTTCGCGTGCGCCCTTGTTGCCGGTTGCCTCCTTAGCGTTCAGGTTGTATATTGAGCAAATGTTGTCGAGACCGCCGCAAGCGACAAAGTTGCCCGATGGTGAGTAAGCGCAAGTCATAACCCAGCTCGACCGCAAGGGGATAGCGTGGACCTTGTTCGTTGTGTAAGCATCCCAGACGATCAACTTGCCGTCCTGTGAGGCGGAAACCAAATGCCGACGGTCGGTAGCCCAGTGCATTGCGTAGATCTTGGCCAGGTGTCCTCGAAGGGCTCTGCGCGGCCGCATGACGATGCGAGGGAGGGAATCGACCTCTGCAGCCATCGCCCTCACTACGGAAAAGACTGGGTCACGACAACTGATGGAGCTGAGTGTATGACGATTACTCACAGCTGGTGTCCGCGGTCGATTCCCGCTTGGCACGAATTTTCTCTTTCAAGCTCTCCGCCTCACGCCTGGCAGCGGCGATACGCTCCTGGATGTCTCCTTGGCCCTGCGACATCTCGAATGTGTATGTCTAGTTAGGTGAATGGAAAGAAAGTCTGATGGCGGTACACAAACCACCCCAAAGCCTCGTCAGCTAGGAGCCATCGCCAAGGGAGCGCTGTACGGCTGCTTACGGATGCCGGTGAGTGAAAAATGAAAGTCGAGTCGACGCCGTTCGGAGGGGGAACAGTGCCGTCGTCTGGTGTTCTCTCGATGCCCTTGGTTGGCCTAAGCGCAGAGTGTCGTGCGTCAATCTATTCCCAAAAGAGAATAGACGAAGTCTGGAGGTAGAAGGGAGAATAATAGGAAGAGCGAGAGGACAGTGCAGAGTAAAGAGAGAAGAGAGCGACGAGCTCTGTTCATCACACACGGAGGCAATACGACACACACCAACCGGATGACGCCGGGCGCGCCGGCCATTCAAACTCCGCGCCCTAAGGCAAGGCACTCCTGCCCTCGACCTAGAAGCCAAGATGCTACGTGGTCCACCCCAGAAGCCTGGGCCGTTAATTATGTGAACATGGATATATATGCCATGATTTTTATATGCATTTTCCACGAACCGATGTCAATGCGGTGCCTCTGCCATCGGTATGTGTCGCGGCTGTGTTACCCAACGGTGATGAAGCGACACATGCTCTGGACCGGCCTCCCAGTCTAACCCTGATTACCCAATGCACAAATGCGAAGTAGCGTCGGTTTGGACTTCTCCATATTGTTCATGTGCAAGAAAGTCGGTTCCGCGCAGCCAGAAGCTACTCGATGACATTCAAAGTCTAGACCTTTGGCAACACGAGCGGGCGTTTCCACGGGATCCAGTAAGTTATCGATCTGTGACCCTGCGGATAAGCCCCCGAAGAATCGTACGCTCGGGGTGACTAGGTGACTTCTGGCAGTGGATCGATTTATGCAAAGGCTGGTTCGTTAGTACTAAGGCCGCCTTGTGATCGCAGGTGCTGCGGAACCACTCGGGACGCCATCAGCTATGATCACTCGCAATGGCTATCCGGACGCCCAGTACAGTTGGATCTGTACTTGGAACGAGTCATTGCTACCCATTTGCTTACAGGGATATGCAACAAGTGCTGCTACGATCCAAAATTTGTCCTCAGCGCCGTTGGAGCGGATAGCCCCAGTCTCAGGAGAAGCGAGACAGATTTCCATATCGTGGACGTAATCGCCGGGCTCCGTGTGGTAGCAAGCTCGCAGCAGAGACCTCGCAGACGTCCAACGCTGGCTCATCACTGTCTACCCGCCACAGCTCGGCCAGACTTCAGCTCTGCCGACCCCCAGTTGCCAGCGCTCTACTGATATTGCGAGGAAGCGCCGTGCCCGCCCGTGTATGTGCGCCCCTACTACCTTGCTCCGCCACCGCTAATGACGCGCATCTACATGGCATTCCTACCAGTCATGAGCCTTTTCGGCGCAGCGCCTCCGGTACCTCCGACCGCGGGACGCCGCGTTCACAATTGTCTGTGGCTCGAGCTACAGCGGAGTTGAGTCAGATAACTAATGGGATGCGCTGCTGTTTACCACCTATGGCAGCGTTAGGACCCTTTCCCCAGTTGTCTATGCTTTGGGACATCAACGGAGATTGCTCACACATTCGGCTGCCGTGAGGTCATCCCGCAGGTACTCGTCCATGTAACTACATTGATCGCTGAATTGTTTTATCGTGTACTGCCATTTTAACCCCCCCGTCACAGTACCGGCAGTCGAGCATTCTGCAAGATATAGTCATGGTCCAGTTATCCGCGACATCCATCGGCGCAAGGAATCTGGCACGTTTGACCGTCTCTAGAGGAGAGAAAAGCGACACGATCAGGACCATCGATTCAGCAGTCGGGATCGTTTCCGGAGCCAAGTCAATGCCTCGAGCTGCGGTCACGAACGGTCCTAACTGCCGTGATTCTTCGCCACAATTAGCATGACGACTCAGTCGGTAGCCCGCTGCAGCAGCTTCGGGGGTATGCAGGGACCCAGCTTGGTCCACGGTCACTTTTGTCGTCGCCAAAGTGGGCTGTGTGGGTGATTTTAATCATTCTATCTCGGTCCTTTTCCTGGCATTCCTAGGACTGGCATCTCCCGACGAGGAATGTATAAATACTCCAGAGGAAAATCTCTGCCCGACACTCGAGCATTTCTGCCTGACACTCGAGCATCTCTCTTCCTCTCCACACCTTTACCACCTACCGAGTTACTATCGAATTACGATGGCCGAGCCTACTCGTGAGACTCTTGACTCGCTCGTGGCGGTCTTGCTCATGCGGAAGCTGACGCGACCATGCAGACTGGAGACTTCAGCTCAATAATCTCCTCCAGATTTCCTGGGGTGTACACTCCCTGCGCTGGGAGCAGTCCCAGACCGGCTCTCAGCATAGTTCCCCTTGGGTAGCTGTCGCTTTCAGTAAGTGGTTTCCGATCGAGCGTAACACATGTTCTGACGGAGCCGCGCAGTTCAAAATGTAGAGTGGGGTAGGGGCCAAGCGCACAGCCTCGGTGCGGCCAAAGAGGAGGCTGCCAGGGTTGCCTATCGCGCTCTCTACAGGCACCTGTACCATGTGGACCCTTGAGCGTTGTGCAACCACTGCCAAGTAAGCCAGCAATTTCGGGAGAGGCGAGCTATACACAACTAAACATCTCGTCTTTAGGAGAATTAGCACACGTTATGTCAATACATCAAACCAACGACCCATGTATTTACCTCCCTGCCGTCTCATCTCACGCCTTGCGTCTCGGGTACACTAGTCGACTGGTACTTCTAATTACGATGTAGCTATAGCACACGGCACCTTACGCCAGGCATTCAGTGTTGTTAGATTATATGACGAATAGATGTGTTGTCGTCGTCGTACTCGCTGTTCCTGGGGTCGCGAGCCTGGGACTGCTGCCCGTCGCAGGAGCGAAGCGGCGACGGTGCTGAGACCACGTGAAGTTAAAGCCTGCGCTCTGTGCCTGCGCCACATAAACGCCACAAAGATTAGTGGCTTGTGTGCGGGAGTTGCCGGAACATCGGCGTTTCGGACTTTGTTGGCTCACCTCGTTGTCCGAGTCCACAGCCTCGCATTCACTTCCGAGGAGGTCCACTGCTCCGCCCTCGACACGATGTTGGTCGCCATGCCGGTCTCATGGGGATCGCGTGCAGGACGCCTTGCTCGACGGCGGCCTCTTTCCCATCCTTGCCGTTTTCTTCCCCGACTCGACGTGCTCTGCCCAAGCAGCGCAACTCGACCCACCGCGAACTTGAAACATGGTCTACGCGAGGCTCCAGGTCAGACATTGGCGTGTTTCCTCGGGCCCTCGACTACACGTGGCCGCTCAAGGTGATATATCAGCCCAGCGTGGTGTCAACCTTCGGCCCCGCCTGCTATGCATGATGCGACAACTCCACCTTCTGTCGATTGTTAAGCCTTTCAAGCGGAGCTTGTCTCATGAAAACGCGCACTCTCGACCCTGTCATAGTTCATACGCGCAACCTGCGGCATCCCAGACATAGCACGGCCAGTCGATATCCGCTTCCCAACGCGCTCTCCATCCACGCATGGTCCCTCTCGTTCCTTACGTCCGGGTCAGATGGACCCTTGTTGAGGTCATTCCCCTTCCTCCGTTGTACGCTCCCCCTGACGGGCCCCGCCTTCCTCCCCTCGATCCTAGTCAACGTTGGCCCTGGAAAACGCTTATGATCTGCGACATTATCCAGGAGATGCCAGGTTATGTTGGGAATGGGATCCGCTTCTCGAAGGGTAGGCAATGCGCTGCGACGGCGAAAGCTCGTCTGGAGTGCAGCAGGCACGATCTCAGTATGTATATATCCCGAGAGCCCGCCGACTAGAGGCTCATCAACAGCGAAAGAAACATGAGCAACGGTACGTAGTATCGTACAATGTGTTCCGGTGACAGAGTACTGAGAGGCATCCGCCCAGATTCTGTCTCCGCACTCAACAACTGTAAGCCCGCTTGTCAAACACAGGGCACAGAGGAAACTGATTAGCCCGCAGACCTCCAGTCGATCGGCAAGGAGTCATCTCTGAGCTGGTTTGAGGAAAGGAGCGGTCCAGAGCATAACCCTGAGTGGACCATGACCTGCAAGAGTAGGTCTGATATCGCTGTTCTGATACCGGGCGGCTTACGCTTAGTTCACAGTCGACGATAAGCCTATTGCCACCGGAAGTGGCCCGCAGAAGCAGGCCGCAAAGGATGCCGCAGCCAAGGGGGCTCTGGACAAACTTCAACAGGGCGGATAAATGAATGTCGTGCGTACTCCCGCGATGCTAGCCCGTCGATCGGACCATGTCGTTTTGTTTGGCTCGTGCAAACTTCCTGGCGAAGTTACTCTTGTCTGTGATAGTTGTTTCCCGTCGATTGCATACCTATTTTATTGAGGCCTGTCAGTTCCCTCGGTTACTGACTTGTTGCGGTGCGCGGGGGTCGTCCTCCAGCCTCTCTCCTTCTTGTCATTATTTTGGAGGTCGGCCAGAGACCCGAGTCTCCGCGCAGGCTTCTCACGTAAAGTGTCAGCGCGGCATAGAACACCCTTTGAGCGTTCGTCGCCCACCTTTCATTCCGTGGCTCTCGGTATTGTCGGACGCTTTCCTGACGACGCTTTCTGCATTTCTCAGCCGCGCACCATCATCCAGCTGCCTCGCAGCATCACCGATGGGGCCTTTTTCACAGCTTTAATCATGATTTCGTTGTTCCGGGCTGAGAAAGTCCGCCAGACAGCGTGCGCTGGCCCCTGCCGTCGGCACGTTAAGCAAAGCCCACCACCCCCAGCTGCTGCCCCCGCCTTATGTTCGCCTCAGACCCTGCACACCGGGCGCTCTCCGCCCAGCGTACCGCCGTGCCACACGTCCGCCCAGTCAGGCAGAGGCCAAGCTCCCTTAAGAAACCGTGCCTCCTCTATAGCATCTTGCTAAACCCGGGGCCCTGGCACTCGGCAACCTATCGAGATTCCTGAACCTTGTGGTCTACTGTATTGCGAAGGCCGCCGGTCCCCCCCCCAGCGTCGCGTGCCGCACTCGCGGCGCTTTCGAGGCCTGACAATACCAAAAGGGACAGGCCCGCAGTCGTCCGAAGGCCGCGCCCGCGGTACGTTATCGCCTCTCTTAATGTGTTATCCCGATATACCCGCAGACTTTTGACAGCACATGCACAGACTATTTGTATATCGACGACGCATAGGCCGCTGTTGGGCGCTGCGACGGGCGTTGGCGAGTTGGGACCCAGTAGTGCATGACAAACCGTAAGTCCGTGGCCATGCGCTCCGGTAACCGTGTCGGTAACACTATTTCCTTGCAGGTCCTCTCGGCTAGGCGATAGCTGACCGAAATCACTAATTCACCAACGGATCCACGGGGTCACAACTGCCCAACTCGTCGCCCCCGCGAACATTGCGGAGCAATTACGCCCCATTCTGTGACAGGCGGCTCGTAGACACCAGCGCGAAGGTTGTGCTGCATAGGTCCGCTTCCCATGGAGTTGGCTCAACCTTGCTGGTACTGTGGAGGCGTCATAACTGACACTGCGGTCGGAAGGGAGGCAGCAACAAGCTGTCACGGGTCGAAGACATGGTTGGCAGTACGTCCTACATCTTATCTGCCAGACACTGTCTAGACGTGTTTGACAGACCACCTGTCCTAAGACGTCCACCTACGAAGAGAGGTTGCCAAGCGAGACCGAAGACCGCGTAGACTTGTAGGAAGACAACAGGACTGACGTGCTACGGGGAGTGCTTGACGGACGGAGGCTCCGACACCCATCGGCTGACCGGCAACCATGAACGCCGCATTCCTACACTTCGGCGAATGTACCAACCAATGCTGGCTTCCAGGGCGGTCAAAGGTGAGGGGTCCGCCGTCTGTGCGTGACAGTTTTTGGCAATTATTGTGTCCAGGAAGTGAGCATGGAGACGACGAGAGCAGCGCTGCGCCTCTGAGTTTTTCCCCGTCTCAGATAGCAGTGCTAGAAACAGACGCGACACGGGCGATTCTGCATACTCAGACGACTCGCCACCATCTCAGCGGGGATGCTATGGCGTCCTCGAAGGTCGCCGAGGCTTTCATAAATAGGGCTAGGTGAGGCTGCCTACAGCACAACCAGTCTTCTACCCTAGTTTAACTAGTAGCGAACCCAACGACTTCTGAATTTCAGCTGCACGCGAAACATGACTCGTGAGCTCACCACTTCGTCCCCTTTCCCAACGCGTTTCGCTGACATCTCGGTCCAGCATACGCCGTTCAGCTTAACAACTGTAATGTCCACGGCCAAACGAATACTTGTGTAGCTTCTGACAGTCCATGTGCAGATCTGCAAGACAGGCAGCAGAAGCATTTGCTCAGCACCAAGGAAACGCAAATTAACGGGCAGTGGAAATTTGAGTACAAATGTAAGTCCAGTCTTGCTGCGACTTGCTTGATACAGTCCCTCTGGAACACGGATTTTTTTTCCAGTCGATGGCGTGGTGAAGGGGTCGGGCATGGCCCAGCGGAAAACAGCAGCCCAAGAGACGGCGGCGATGGAAGCCCTGCAGAACCTGGGTGGTACTGTGTGAAGGGGCGAGTGATGTGCTAGGCAGAGGCATAGCGATGATGGCGTCGGGTCGGTAGGGCCTTGTGGTGTCCAGGAGAACTGGTTTGTGGTTCCGTGCGGGTGGCGTTTGCAATTTAAACTACAACACATGCCATACTCGGCGTGTGATGCGATGTAATCTCAGATCCGAAATGACGATTCGTCCGTCCGCGGTTGAAACGTTGAAACCCGACTCTCACCGCGCCAACGCTGGGATGTTGTCCCGTCGGCCTCTCGTGCCTTTCCTCATCGCAGGCATAGCCGGTTAGACTGTTCACCTGCAGATTGATAGAAAACTTTTACTGACTCTCACGGACGCTCAGGCGTGATGTCCGGAGTGTACATATTCAAACCGCTCATAGACAACAACAAGGCATTGCGGAGGTCAGGAGACCGCAGCGGGCAGTGCTGTGAGAACAAGGCTGACTTCATTGTCGAACAGCGTTGATCGGTCTGCGGGCCTAGATGAGACCGCAGCGACTGCATCAATCAAGGCACCTGACGAGCCTACATCCACAGCGACGGCCACGCAAACAAAAGCGGAAGCAAATACAAACGAACGCCAACACAGCGACAGCACTAAACCATAGGGGGCAGTTCCTACACAAACGCCTGGGCCACTAAGAAGACTGTGTGTGATTCATCATGGACACACAGCTGTCGCATTGCACGTATGTCACGTAGAAGTAGGACCGGCAGCCGATTAGGCACTAAGCCCATTCATTGTGGACCTGTCGTCTCGTCGCTCCCATATCTGCGAATGAATTGAGCTTGTGGAGAGACCCGAGCTACGGAAGCACTCACTTGAATGATGGTTTCGCCCAAGAATATCATTTCTTTGCGGATTTCCTCCACGATTAGATCCTGAATTTGGAACCACCTTTCGCTTTCTCCACCACCGCTGCCTGCGCGAAGATGTACCTTCCAAACCGTGCTCTCCTTGTCTCTGGTAGTTCCCGCAGCTGACTCGTGGATCACGTTTGCGACTAGATCATACATGGCAGGCGGATGGTTCTCAGGCACCTCGAGGTCTGCGTCAGACGCATGAGCCATCGTCGCGGTTGCTATGAGCGTGCGACTCACATTCCCGAAGGTCAAGCCCTCTAAGGGGAAAGTTGACGATAGTCGGATTTTTTTCCTCAACGAAGGCGTTTTTAGTGAACCGTTTGAAATGTAAGACGATGTATGGGGGCAATCTCTGCAGCTTGAAGCGGCGCAGCTGACCAGCAGATTCCTGGAACAATCATCAATGAGCTGCCAGGATCTCACTCGCAGATATGTTAGGAAGTACCTGAGCCGTCCGTCCATCATACTTGGCCAGAACCGATTGTATACTGACTTGAGGAATGATGTTCTTCTCTACTGAGTCTTGAAACAAAGGAGGTGGTGGGAGGTCAACAGCCAGGAACAAGAACGGGGACGTCGTCGTCCTGATCTCTGTGAGACGGCTTTTCGTCAAGGGCAGTCATAGAAGATGATCGTTGGGCTTGCCTCGATCAATGTCAAATCTCGGCTTTTCATTTCCTCTGAGATCAGATCGCACCACGACCTGTTGCGTTTCCATACGAAGCTCGCCTTGAAACGTAGAAAACATGACACCTAAGAGCAAAGAATTAAGCATATATCGAGATTATTGGCGGAAGGCTTACTCGAGTTCCGTTTCTTAGTGCCTCCCATATCCTTGTGCAGGTGGTTTAGAAGCCACCCCAAGAACTCCGCTGGATCGCCTTGCTTCTCCAGACTGAACTTTCCCACACTGGCGCGTCCCACCTCTTGCAGTAACTCGTGAGGACTAACTTGGCTCTTGAATAACCGCGGGTTCCAGACTTTCTTCGCCAAACCAGCAAAACGCCTGAGCATTTCCGACTCCTTGCCCTTGAAATTTGACAGTAAGAGGTAGTCACGCAGTGGAGGGACATGTAGCAGTGAATGGATGATGACATTCATGTAGTCATTTCTCTTGATATTGTTGAGACCGATGTAGCCGGGAATGTACGGCTTAGAGGACAAGTCATATGAAGGCTTCAGGAGGTGTGCTGGCGCAGAGAGGTTCGCAATGGAAGATTTACTAAACGAAGGGGCGAGGACGAACGAGATGTCTTCTAGAGATGGGTCCGAGACGGGATACCCGTCTGGCAACACGTACACCTAAAGGGTATGAGTTGAGTGTCCATGGGAGCATAAATTAGCAGACCTTTGCCGTTTCAAGATTGATGAAGACATGGTGATCGTCGTGTATTGCATGGGCATAAGCATAGGAGCTCTTCCCTCGACCTTGGAAGTATTTGCCGCAGACGAGACAACCGTAGATGTTGATGTTTGACAGCGATACCGAGCAGACTTTCTCAAAGTCGAAGTCCAGGACTGCTCTGTTGATCTACGAGAACTTGGGCTGTTTAGTAGGGTCTCGTGGAACGAGACTACACTCGTACCGTGTCCAGATACAAGTCGGACGCGCGAACAGGCTCACTGGCTTCTGTTGCAGCGTAAAGATCCTCCTCGCCATCCTCCGCAACATTTGACTTGGCTGTAGACTCTAGTTTTGATCCCAACGTAGGTGAACTGCTCGCTTGCACTCTAGCAGGATAGACTAACCTGTGTTCTCGGGAGCATCCTCAACACGTGCCCTCTTTGCTGGCCTCTCGTTGCCGTTCTCTTCGACATCCAAAGGTCGGCTCTCAGTTGCCATGCCTCGCTGACTGGAATGGTTTACAACGCAGATGGTCTCGTTCGATGAGTGCTAAACGTTGAAAGCTAGTGGACTGGAGCCTCAACTATGCCGTCGGCAGCGGCAAGCGCTTGTTTCGCGATCAATTTTGTGCGCGACGCGCCAACGAAGTCCTGGTCTCTGCCACTTTGGACTTCCATCATCATTTCCTTTGACCTGCTCTCTCCGCCCGACGCGGACGAGAGCGACGAGGGCGGGACACGCAACGTCACACTTGGATAGACACACTGCTCACGGCCGCCATGCTTCGTTCTGTACCGGCGAGGATCCTTGCTCGCACTTTGCGGTGTGAAGCCCGGCTGTTGTCGTCAACGGTACCTTCGCCGACGGCTCAGCCAAATCCACCTATCGACCTAGATCCGTCTATGAAAGCTCTCTTGCGAGATGTGGACATGTCACTCCTTCGCCACAAAACCGTACATTCAAGTGACCTGGCCAAAACGCCGCGCGAGTTGGAAGTATACCCCAACGACCCTGCTGATGTAGATGATTACATGACCTCAGAGGAGCTGGACTTCCAGGAGGCCGACGCTGACGATAAGTCAACGCGTAAATCACCAGCTGCACTCTTTGGCAGTCAGCGTATCGGCGCTGTCGTTCTGCCACTAGAGCTTCAGAAAGCAATCACGCAGCTAATCTCGGGTCTGCATTTTCAACCCACTGTATCACTGAGAGACTGAACATATCTGCAGAGTCTGACAAACCTATGCTGCATGTGGATGCAAAGCGGCTGTTCCTAGACGAGAATGAAAGCGGAGCCGAGTGGGATACTACTTACGATGTGCGCTACAAGTCAAGAGAGCAGCGCGTTCGCCACGCGGAGCGCGACGGCACGGCATTTGCTTCAGTGGCACTGCCCGCGCATTATTCCGCCATATATGCGGTGCTACATCACTTGAAGCAGCGGCTAAGTCCCGGCTGGTCAGTTCAACATGTCATTGACTGGGGTGCAGGAACGGGAAGCGGTCTCTGGTGGGCACTAGCCTCAATCTTTGTCCATCATCCTGCTTACGGCCCCACAGGGCGTCGTCTTATGCATTTCAGAAGCCACCGGAAGAAGGTGCAGAGGAGGTTGATGTTCAATTCGTCAAGTCGACATTAGCGTCCTACATTGGTATCGAGAAAAGAGAGGGGCTAGTAAAAATCGGTAAACGACTGCTGAAAGGTCCGGTGTCCCGTAATTGCATATCATGACGCCAGCAGGCTGACTCGCGCGGCAGGTACAGACGTGGGCGATGTCAGCGTATCATGGCAGAAAGCGTTTCATGAGGATAACAAATTGCCTCGTGTTGACGGTGGTGGTGTCCTTTCATTGTCCGCCTTCATGTTGTCATCTCTACCTAACACTGTGGCGCGTAAGAAAGCGGTCAAAGAGATGTGGGAGAGCGGTGCTGACATCATCGTACGTACCGCTTGTCGTTGCTCGTCACCGTGTGAGAAAACGATTCATCACCGTCGTCTGCCGCAGGTTCTCATCGACCATAACACGACGACTGGCTTTCAATGTATAGCCGATGCTCGTGACAACCTTCTCCGAATGGGTAAGCGCGAAATGGAAGACCCTGACGCGAAGGATTGGCCAGTGCGGGGTTCGCATGTTGTTGCACCTGTACAAATCTCGATCTCATCTTGCCAAGGTCTTCAGAAGACTGACGATTGTGCTCCATGCAGTGCCCTCACGACGGTGCATGCCCTTTGTTCAACGTGGGCCCGAAGTCGCTTGTATGCGGGTTTTCTCAGCGTCTCCAACGACCGGAATTTGTCCGCAAGACCAAACATTCGAAGATGGGACATGAAGACATTGGCTATTCGTATGTGGTCATCCGGCGAGGCGCCAGGCCAGAACAGCCGAACAGCAAGTTCGGCCGCATTGGCGACATTGGTAGACGTGAGCTGGAGAAGATCGCTGCTGCCCAGGCTTCCGCAGCAGAATTGGTCGTCGACAGAGATGCCAGCCAGCCAGCCAAACCAACAAAGCCTCCCGTTGATCCATCTCTGACGATTGATCCTGCCGGGGTCGACATGACCCCGCAAGATATTCAAGAAACTCTGAGGTCTGAAGCTTATTACTGGCCAAGGCTAGTATTCCCGCCTCTGAAGCGGAGTGGCCACATTGTTTTGGATGGCTGCACCTCAGAGGGTACGTTTTCCGCCCATCTGCCGTCCGACTACGCATTTATCGAAGCTTTTAGGGAAAATCATGCGTATGACAGTTCCGAAGTCGCAAGGCAAACAGCCATTTTACGATGCTCGGAAATCGTCCTGGGGAGACATCTTTCCTCATGACCCCAAGAATCCTCCGCAGGTACGCTTCACCCCTGAGATGGCTGGTCGTCGACCAGCACCGGGCAACCAGCCAAAAAATACCGCGACCAGCAAGCATAGTTACGCCCAGCTTGTGGACGAATTGAGGCAGAAGCAAAGCCGTATCAGGAGAGAGCGCAGACGTCAAGCACAGATCAACAATGAAGAGTAATACCATGTCATGTAGTAGTGATCGTGTCTGTCTCGCTTCCCCGCTCATTAGTATACTTGCATGCATAGCTGTGGCAATATATGGGCCGTGTCGAATCAACTAATAATCCGCTATCCGAATACCTGGTCCGTGCGGTGAGCTTAGTAACACTCGGACAATCTGGTATTCTGCAAAAAGCTTGAGTTTTTTCGGTGAGAGTGAGGTGCAAGATACTCACGGGGCTTGTTAGATGACGGATCCTCCTTCGAAGCAAGGGAGGCGCGCTCGTTGCCAGTAGCACGCTTCACCACGCTGAGGAAATATCGGATATTCTTGATGACATCTTCCACCGGCCAATTCATCTATCATCGGCGAATCAGTTATATGCGGAGACGACAGGCTGTAACGACTCGCCTTGGCAATTGGAGCGCGGATAGCTCCCACTTTGTCACCCTTCCACTCACTGGTGCCCTGCAGCCTTCGGATGTAGCCTGCGATGTCGTCCGTGACAGTGCCTCGCCGCTCAGAAGGCATGAGACCCAGTGGACCGAGAACACGACCCAGCCTCGGGCTAATAGCCCGAATGAGGTCAGGAGTACACAAGTACATGGTTGCCTGATGACGACCCGAGATAATCTGAAACGGCGTTAAGCGTTGAAGCGCTGCCAGATAGAATGTACATACACCTTCGACAAGCTCTACACCTCCGATAATATCAGCACCGACCTTCTTCGCCTCTTCCGCTGCCCTTCCTTCCGCGAAGACGAGAATACGGTCCTTCGTCTTGGGCTTTGGTTCCCTGGGAAGCGAGTAACGGCCCTTTGGGACAGTTGCACCACGTTCCGGAGCCTGGGTCTTGATGACAAGCTCATATGTGGCAGTCGGCGATGTAACTTCCACGGCCTAAATTGCGGTTCAGTTCGAACGGAACCAACCAGCGAATTGACATAGCATACGCGTAGAACAGAGACGGCATCGTTGAGAGGCATCTTCTCGACATCGTAGACGTTCTTTTTGGCCTTGAGTGCCCTCTTTCGCGCTTTTGCGGCAAGTTGGGCCTTCGTGAGCGGAGCCCTTTCCTTCTGCTTACGGGCCATGAGCACCGCCGCTGCATGGAACTCTCGACGAGCATTCTGGGCAATAATTTGAGGGTGGCTGCACACACTCCCTACAGGAGACGCACCATGAGTCCTAGGGCACCAGTCAATGCCCGACATCGGAAAGCGAGATTTGCGAGAGACATGGTCGGTGCTTGCAGGCAGGCCTGGGAGCGCCGGGTTGATCACTCTCGGCATCCTCCGGAAAGCCTCACATATATGGAAGGTGAAAACAGTCCATTGAATTCCGAAAGTCGTCTATTACTCGTATCTTTAACCAGATGGCCTGAAAGTAAGTAACTGGTTCCTTACAATTTGCTAACCCCTTACATGCCCTGTTCCCAACCTTGCTCTTTATATACCCAGCGCTGCATGCCCCTGATCGACCCTAAATCTCCTGTTACTTCCGCTTACCCCACCGCTCCAGTTTCATCCTGCTAGCCGCCTGCGCCCGAGCCACCGCAGGCGGTCGAGAACTAGAAGGCTCGAAAAACAAAAACCTATGTGAATCTATATTTTCGCACAGCCTAGGGCGGGGAATGCAAGTGAGTGAGCATACACTAGCCGCGAAGACGCCAACCTCGATCGCGAGAACAGCTGCTACCGGGACAATATTTGTCGCGTAGCGGAGCGAAGCTGTCTCTTGTCTAGATTACTCTAATCCTTCATGACAATACCTTCCGGTTTTTATGCTCCTGGACGCCCAAATGAAACATTAAGCTCACATGAAATCGATACTGGTACATGCCGCCGGATCATTGACAGGCATAACACGGTTGGCTCCGCCGGAAGCGAGACCTTGCTATTAGTACGTACCTAAGGCTGCTCTCAGGGTCTCCTTTGCAAATACCCTCGCCCGACCCGAGCTCAACGCGGAAATTAGAGTGAGACTGCTTTGACCTGTCATGTGAGCAATTTATACTCCACTTTGCCGTATCCCGGGAAATAGATGACTCTGCCGGGTTCGTGATGGACTGCTCAGGATACGCCATCGCAATACTACGCTGAATGTAAATATTAATGCAGAAAACGCACAGCACCCGGACATCAAGAGACTCGACGCATGTTCGGACAACCCGTCCAGTCACGGCCCCCGCAATCCAGCACGATGATACTATGGTTCTGCCTTTGGTACAGTTGCATAGCGTTCAGAATTACAACAGCCACTAATAGCATCCGTATTCAGGTCTTGATCTCAGGAACTGTCAGGCGACATATTCAGCTCAGACCACGCTGAGCCGGCCTTGGCTCACCCTCCTGCGCTCCGGTTCAGACGGCAGGGTCTGAATGGACGAGGACACCGATGCTCCACAATAATGCAAACCTTTGCTGTGGGAACCTGGTGGTTAGGGCCCGGAAGAATGGAGATTACGAGAAGGGTGTCCAAACGGACGGGCGGCACCATTTATACTGAAGGTTTGTTAACGGAATAAGCGTCTGTTCCGACAGATGAATGCGTATCTAACTTAGATTGTTGACACGCATAAGAAGGCACACGCTGCGGCTGTGTCGGCTAAATATCCTTCCAAAGTTATTTGCTGGTCAATAAAATTTGCACGGAAAAGGCAAGTACGGTATCGAGCATACAGCCTGGTGCAGCGGTAGCCCGAGCAGCGTTGGTACTCCCGGGGCGTCGATGGTCTTAGGTGGTGGAAGCTGACAGTTTCTCTCTAGTTCGCATACTGAAAATTTCGGCACTATCAGGTTCTCAGCTCATATCAGTTTGTTGCAGTCGAGATTTCACAGCCTGCTGCTCCCGTCTTTCTGCGTCTGACCAAGCAACACTCGACGGGGTATCTCGTGAGACATCAGAAAAAAATAACCATCGGAAGCATCATCCCTTACTGACAGCGTTACGTGGGATAGGGACCCCTCCGCAAACGCGTGCGGTCTCAAGAAAACGCCATTGGGCTGCAGAGGCGCCGCAAACCCTGAGAGTGCCGTCGCACAACTTGAAGTGCGTACTCGGCCCTGAATATAGGTCCTTTATCGCAAATACCCTCACCTGACTGCGCATGTCAACGGTAAAGAAAAACCCGCCGTGGGAGAAGGCTCGCAAGGGAGAGTCTTCCGGGTCCCACTTTGGCTGTCCTGTCTGCGCCATGGTTAGTCTTACAGGCTCAGAATACCAGTTCGCAAGCACAGCGGTCGAGAAGATAGCGTCGAGCACTGGCTTTGCGCCGAGAAATATGAAGTTCACGCGAGCATCCCGTTACTCGTGACGCGGGTTCACGAAGTGGCAGTCGCAAGTGCGCCGCGAGTCTAGAGCCCCCGTCCCCCAGCTGCAGCCAACAACTTGACGCTTCGCCGTAAACATGAAGCCAAGGTGCAGTGCACGTACGCCTCTACCGGACATTGACCAAGGCGGCCGAGACGGCTGGAAGGGGGTGCGGGTTAGTGGGATACCCTAAGCGCCTGCGAGGCCGACAAGTAATTGCACTGCCTGATTTCTACGCCTACAGGCCGCTAACAGCGCGCGCAGCAGAAAACACAGCTACTGCCGTTATCCCCCCGCGAGACGCTTCTCAGCACACATGAGGCAGCATAGCATAACAGGGTGGTATTGATGCAATACGAGCTGTTGGTACATTTGTCCGCAAGACAAGGTGAAAGATTTGAAAATTGAGAGAACGAGCGGTCAACCCCAGCGGGCCTCGAGTTCGCGGGACGAAAACATCTCTGCGGACATGCCCGCCTCGGGGCCGCCTCTGCTTGCGCCGGGCGCCTTATTAATGACTGCAGCGTGAATGGACTCGAGAGCATCTGTCCATTTCTCCAAAGCAGTGTAGCGCTTCTTTTCGAGCGCTTGCCTGTGAGCATGAATGAGAAATAATTCACGTTGAGAGATGACAATTACGCACTTCCTGTCCAGCTCCAGACGCATAGCGACCTGGTCGATTCGGCCTTCGACCTTGCCTTCCAGGATCAACCCTATGAGAAGCTCCTCGACCTCCTCTAGTTCGACATTTAATTGCTATTGATACGATGACAGGTCAGCAGCAATGTGAACGCCTGTCGCGCGGCTGACCTTCGCAAGGAAAGACAACTCCAGACGAGTGTACGGCTTGATGAGGTCGATCAAGTATTGAGTACGCAAACTACGCAAGAGCTCGCCAATATACATGCGAATGAATAGGTCGTCCATGATCGTGGCACGGTTTTCTAGTCTAGGAGTGAGCAATATTTGCGATGCCTGAGACGGGGATACGGAGACACACCTCGCAAGATTTTCTCAGCCGCATGGACATCGCGACGCTGGTATGCATCCACCAGATCTGTCATCGCCTTGATCTGTGGATCGTTCTTGTAGCTTTAAGACATGTCAGCGTATGCAATGCTGGACATCCGCGAGATGCATACGGCTTCGTTTCCTGGCTGTCGAATGGGTTGACCTCGCTGCCCGTAAGCATGTTGGCAAGTACAAGATACTTTAAGACTTGTATACGTTGCGGCGAACCAGCCTCATCGTAGTTCTTGAACGAGTCGAAAAAGTCCTCGGTTGCACGAGCCCAGTTGCCTATTGAGGTGGCCGTCAGTTTACAGCTGCGACTTGGCTCTCCCGACTTACGCTCCCCCATCCACATCTTGCCACCACACTCCTTGATGACACCAAGGATTCGTGGATGTGGGATAGCTGATCGCACAGAATTCGCGGCGTTATAGATTTCCTGATATCGGATATCAGTACTTCATGCGCGAGTGCCAGTTAGTAACGCATGCCTTCAACTTCTTGAAATTCTTGGTCTCGTTATACATCTGAATTTCGAGGGCATAGATCTCAAGAAGCTGGGTACCCTTTTGTGCCTGGTCCTCGCCATCGGCGTTGGTCGCGTGATGCAAGTCGCGGAGAAGCTGTGTAAGAAATGAGACACGCGTCGCCCATAGCACATCCAGGAAGCCTACTCTTGCTAGCCGCGGGTATTCCTTTCGGTCAAGCCAGAGCTTAGCAAGATTGAGGTTAGTCTTGGCCGATAACCGCTGAGATCCTTGGTCAGTGAAGACGGGATAAGCTACGGTACTGGAGACACACGTCGTTCCTTGCTTCTTGAAGGGCTTTCTTCGTCGCTTGATAGAACTTCTCCAGAGTGTCTACGTCCACAGGACCGCCTTTGCCACCACCGACATAATTCAAAATGCCGTTGATAGTCTTCTCGGAATAATTGCGTGTCACTGCAGACTTGGTATATTTCAGCAGCTCTTGATATGTCTTCAGTGCGTCTTGTGGTCTCCGAAGTTGTAGGAAGAGCACTTTGGTCGACTGCTTCAGCGCTTTGAAGCCCCTGGTGCAGATTGAAAGAGATATCGTTATACGCAAGAACTCGAAGACATACCAGTCTCCCTTCTCCTGTTCCTTTTCCACAATAGCTCTAAACTCCTTCAGTGCTTGCTCCGGATTATCTTCCTTCTTCGCTGTAGGAGACTAAGCCTCACTGACTGAGCATGATTGCGGTACACTCACACTTGGCGGTATAGTACATGTTCTCGATATCAGCACTCCCACCCTCATCCCCGGAACCATCATCGGAGTAGTCGAAGCCGTAGTCCTAACTAGGACGTCGATCTCAGGTCTCAAAGTCATCGGACACCGACCCACCTCGTCCTCGCTGCCTTGCATGTAATCGGCATCATCGTCATCCATGGTGGTGCGGTATCCTACATCTTATTGAACGGGAGGTAAGAACGTCGACCAGAAGGCATCTCACAGCTAGTCTTCGTTGATTTGCAGGCAAGAATCTGTAATACCGAGGCCGCCACTGACCTCGTTGGATATGGAAAGACAAGCATTGCACTGCATGCGGCAAGCATGTACGCGTTCGACGAGCGTCTATCACATGACTTGATGAACGCGTCAGGCGCTTACGGCATTCATGCTGGCAAGAAATAAAGAAATACTTTCCGGGCACAGACAGCGTAGCAAGAGACAGGATATAGCGGTGGTCTGAGCATTAGCGTGTTTGATGTCGTAAAATGGGTACAGTACTTATCTGCACGCTTCCAGCACCTCCGAGACCTCGAGACGTTCAATGATGCCCATTTCGGGCTGTCTTGAGCTAGCATTCACCACTACCGTCAAAGCCACCGCAGCTTTCTCTCCCTTTCGTCATGACTCTCATGCTATGAACGCAACTCACGATTTATTATGACGGGAGCTGTACTCATGGAATCGCCAAAGTCCGTCACACCTATTCCTCCCCCTGGACGCACCGCTTCTACCAGATCCCGAAGCAGCTCGAAACTGGAAGATGTCGCTTCCCTCACTTCCTTTAACCCATTTGCGGAGGAAGACGAACATGACAATTCTTCTTATGCAATAGTCTCCTCTATCTTTTCCAAAGTAAAGAACACTTTGGCCGCGCCATTAACCTCCGCCACCTCCTCCACCCCTGCCCCGTCCTCGAGCAATGCAAACGCCCCACAGAATGGCTCTGCTCCTGAGCTTCGACGGCCGTCTATACCAACATCCAGCTCAAATATATCCAATAAGTCCAATGCGGAGCGCAGGAACCCCCTACCCACTTTTAACACCAAGACCCTAGCGCAGCCTACAGTGTCGGCGACGCCAGCCATCTCAGAGCCTCCTCCTGCGTTCGGCGAACTTGAGAGAACACCTTCACAAGGAGCTTCCGTATACTCTCCCGATGGCAACGATAACTCTGGCTACGGGACATTCATCCCTGGCTTCCCCATGCCCGACAGTGACGCACGTAGCATTCGAACGACTGCCAGTATGAATAATATCAAGAGAACCGCGTCTGTGTCCAAGGTGATACGTAAACTACGTGGAGAAGGTGTGCTGATTTATTTCTCAACACGGGACTGATGCACTAATCGTCCCATAGGACTTTCTCGTGATTACTGGATGGACGACGAACTGTGCAAGGAATGCTATGACTGCAAGAGTGTGTTCACCGCTTGGCGAAGGAAACACCACTGCCGTATATGCGGTACGCGTCTGAACAGTTGATGTAAGAGCCGAGCTAACATCCTCGTAGGGCAAGTCTACTGCTCAAGATGTGCCTCTCATATTATCAAAGGCCACCGTTTCGGACAGGATGGCGCTATACGTGTATGCAACTTGTGTCTCGATAAGCTGCAGACTGTTGGCGAGGATGAGGACGACTCGCGCTCAATTTCATCGACTACTTCCCCATTCGCCGCGCACCAGCTGGGTACTGACGCGAGATTTATCAATCTAGCACATCTTCCTCAGTCCCCTTTCGCTGCCTCTCAATTATTCGGGCGTAATGATTCGTTTAGTCTCTTCTCGATTGCCGAGACGAAGCGTCCGTATGCAGGCTCGGATGACAGCGGTTTGGGGTCGAGGTCCGGGACCCCGGATTTAGGCGACCTTCCCCAGCACGTTCCTTTCCGCCGTACTCTGACAGAAGAGGAGAAAGAGCCTGCGTCAGAGACTGAACAAGCTGAAGCCGACCAACCCCCTCTCGCCAACGTCTTGAAGACGCCTGTAGAATTTCCTGTTACCGTCCCTGTCGCCCTGAGTGGTTCTTCCAGCACTATCGCATTCCCTGTTAGCTCGCCGGACCAGGGATCCGGCTTCGACAGCCCTGGAGGAATAAGATCACGCTATAATTCCTTCGCCGAGCTACATGGACCGTCCTTCGTCCGTAGCCGGGTTCATAGTCGCTTGGGTGAAATCGAGGCCGGTGAAGCAGGCTGGCGAACGCGGCGGGAAAGCACTGCGTGCGTATCAGCACTCCGTATACGTGAGCTTTACTTACTGGTACGCTTAGGTATGCGCAGGAGCTCAATACCATCTCCATGTTCCATCTGCGTATTATGCTACGGCAGATGCTGACCACCGAGAATATACCCAATATTCGAGAATGGGAGGAGACACTCCTGAAGCTTGCGCTGCGTATCGCACGAGAATTGACCTTCGCCGCTCAACCACATCGCCAAGGGGCTGACATGGACGTCCGGCGCTATGTGAAAATCAAGAAGATACCTGGCGGTTCTCCCAAGAATTCCGAATACGTCGATGGTGCGGTCATTACGAAGAACGTAGCTCATAGGAACATGTCGCAAAAGCAGCGTAATCCCCGAATCATGCTCGTTACTTTCCCTCTCGAATTTCACCGTATCGAAGGGCAGTACGTTCATTTCGGCCAGATCCTATTGCAAGAAAAGGACTACCTGGGGAATCTCGCGAGTCGGATAGCGGCGCTCCGCCCGCACGTCGTTCTGGTGGAGAAGTCCGTGTCGAGGCTGGTCCTTGATGCGCTTGCTGATCGTAAAATTGCCGTTGCGCGAGCGGTAAAACCCAGTGCTATCCAGTTCGTCTCTCGGATGACACAGTGCGATGTTTTCTCCTCGATGGACAAACTCGCCTTGGAACCTCGTCTCGGACATTGCGCAAACTTCCAGATCCAGACCTTCGACCATCCACTTATTCCCGGTCGCCGGAAAACCTACATGCGTTTCGAGGGGTGCAATAGGGAGATGGGCTGCACTATCATCCTTCGCGGCGGCGATATCGACGTTCTGAAGCGCGTGAAAAAGGTCACTCGCTTCCTCGCTTTCATAGTACGGAATCTTCGTCTGGAGACGCACCTTTGGAAGGACTCGGTCATCACTCTGCCTGCGTTATCGAGGACGGCGACTCCTTCCGCTGCCGTCACGTCAATCGCGGACGTCTTGTCTCCGACCAAGACCAGTTCCCCCTTAACTCAAGAAGAAGCCTTCACGCAGGTCGACTCTCCTTCGCCCGATGGGGAGGATCTCCAAGGTGAAGAAGCGGAGCAAAGACGCCTGTCTAAGCGCATCCAGGAATCCCTGGAGCCGTACGAGAAGACGTTTATTTCAGTGTCTGCTACCCTTCGCTTCCCACCTCCCTATCCTATCAGGCGTATGAAAGAGCTTGACGACGAGCTACGCCGGGTAAAGCAGGAATGGGAGGATGATCTAGTACGACGCGAAGAGCAGCCCTCTCGTGCTGGTCACCACCAAGAGGAGACGGCCACTCAGCAATCTGTTCCGGGCGTAGTTATACCAGCAGCTGTGGATACCAGCGATCTTGTCGCCCAGATAGACTCCTTGCAGGTACCGGACATGTCCCGAACTCCTACTCCTGGAATCCTGCCCCCTTCAGAGCCTGATTACTTCACTCTCCCTCGCGCGCCTTCGTTATCATCCTCGATGCCTTCCTCAATGGTTTCTTCACCTGCACCAATTATCGTTGAGGAGCAGCCCATCAAACCCAGGTCTGCTGAGGATATCGCACTCGAAAGTCGTCTCAGTTATGTTAAATGGCAGCATGAGGAGCAGCGTCGAATCTGGGAATGGTACCTCCGCAAAAACAAGGACGATTTCGATGTCGAGAAGTATCAGTGTATCAGCATGTGGGAATTCACAATACCGATCGCCGAGTACGGTCTACACCGCGCTTGCTTCGCGCCCCAGTTGCACTATACCACCTTCTACGGAAACAATGACTGCACACTCGGTCAGTTTATCGAGAAATCCGTCCGGGAGACCTTGATCAAGTTCCTCGACCCGAAGGCGATCTGCGGGGGTAATCGCTGCGGTCAGCCAATTGCTCGCCACTGCAGGGTCTACGTCCATAACGAGTCGCGTTTGTTTGTCGCTGTCGAACAGTGGGACGGCCAGATCAATGACCCTATGGGCTATCATGCGCATGCATCCCCCGAGAGCATCATTACTTGGAGTGCATGTCGAGTATGTGGCTCCGCGACCCCCTTCATCCCTGTCTCGGAGGAGATGCAGAGGTATTCCTTCGCGAAATTCCTCGAATTGCACTTCTATCCAGCCGATGTCCAACTCGTGCAAGGTGCAGGCTGTCAGCACAACATCTACCGGCACCATATCCGTTACTTTGCCAACCAGGGAATGACCGTCCGCTTCCAAGCAGACCCAATCATCATGCACGAGATCGTTTACCCACCCATGCGCATCCGTGTTCGACCAGAGGCTCAGCTTGAAATCAAGAACAGGGACTTTGAGAGGCTACACCACAGAAACAACGTGTGGTACTCTGCTCTCATTGACGATCTGAAGCTGATCAACATCGACGCTGCTACTGGAGATGAGGAAGCCGACGCTATGTTAACCACGCAGATCAATGCTCTTATCCTTCGCGCCGAGGCGGAAAAAAACGAGGTCACGACGTTCATCAACAAGGTTTACACGGACTCATCACCCACGGACACATTAGCTCTCAATCAAGTGCGCGCGAGGCGGCAGGATCTCATCGTTGCCTGGCAGGCTGACTTCGATAAGCTGCCGAAGCCGAGACTTACGCAGTTGACCGATAAAAATGTCAGGCGGCTCTCAGCGTTTGATTCTGTGCGCGCCATATGGCCTCGCAGAGAACTGGAGTTCCTCCACGGCCCTTCGGCCAACATCTCGGAGACCGAAGACTACGGCGGTCGGACGATGAGGAGGGTCACCGGCGACTCATTCATTTCGTCTGCGTCCGAAGCGTCGGAAACTGAGTCCATCACTGAAGAGCCAGTCCCTCAATGTGAGGCGGAACCGAGCCCCATGTTGGTCACACCCGCCACAGAGCCAGGCCCGGATGTGGCACCCATGTCGCCCAAGTCTGAGCCGGAGAGCGACTCGACTATCGGTGCGCCAGCGGGCGATCGCAGTGCTCCAGAAAACGCCTCTTTCCATCCAGTATGCCTGTCTTTTACTTCTGCCATGTCAGAGCTGTTGACCTCTGCGCAGGATGCGCCTGATGCTGCGAAGCCTGAGGTGGACGAAGAGTCACACACTGGCGAACGTTTATCGCATATTATATCGCGACTACCTAGGCGAACAACACAGCACCCCAGCGTCGCTGAACTGGTCAAGAGATACCAGGAGTACCTTCCCCCGCAGGGTGTCGAGGAACTGGCTAAGACTGCTCTACAACCGACAAATCCGATATCTGAGAGCGAGCAAGAGACATCCCGTGAGATTTCTGCACATTCACGCGTCAGAGGCAAGAGGAGTCAGCAATTCCTTACGAGGAAGTCGTCGATGTCCGACTTCGAATACGGCTATGCTGCCAACATTGCCCCAAAGTATCTCACGCACACCAGAAGGACCGCTGGCCATACACAGCACACGAGCCGCATCCCAAGTCTCATGATCGGTTCGTTCGAATCCCGCACAGCATCTCGTCGTTCATCGCCAGATAAGCGTCCTACTTTCTCCCGCATGCACACCGACGCAACGATCAGAGGCGGCCGAGTGTCTCCGCCTCCGGGTAAACAGAGTTCCACTGGTCCATTCATCCCTAAGAACAAGGGGAAGGGAACGCTTCGTGCTGTACCATCCAGGGATCGGCTGCTTGTGTCTCGCCCAACAGCCAGTTCAGGTGCTAAGTCAACGACCAAGCGGACTAATGCGCCAGGGAGCAAGGTATCTAACATTGCGAAGCACTTCGAACGCATGAACCGTGACAACGAACGCTCCAGTCGTCGGTACGCCGTCATTCGGGGACGCAGAGCTCGCCCGGTTGCGACCGCACGCGCGAGGGTGGAGATCCTCGAGAGCATTAAGGATGCAATAAAGGATGAGGAGTCTGACGATTCCGGCCACAGCGAAGCGGACGACGAAGGCGGAGGAGATGAAGATGAGATCGGCTTGGACGAGAGATCTCCAAAGAACTCGCTTTCACCTCCACTTGGTAGTATCGACGCCGGACAAGGTTCAGGACAAGAAACTGCTCTTGCTGCAGGGTCGGATGGGGCGTCGGGACAGGAGCAGCTGGCCATTGTCCTAGTCGCTCCCGAGCAGGACAAGTTGGCTGAGCCCCCCACCCCTGATGCCCAGATTATCAACTCTGCACCGCCATCGCCTGCTATGCCACCTATCCCGAGTACGCCTGCGATGTCTCCTCCCGAGCTGGACCTAGCAGGCGCTGCAGGCGAGCGTACCTCGATCCTGAAGACCCTTGCCGGTTTCTGGCCGCAGCAGACACAAGCCACTCGTCAGCCCAATGACGATGACCCCATGTCTGATCCTGAGCATATCTTCCGTGATTCGTCCATGGTGGTCAGAACTGACGAGCCCACCTCGATTATTGCTCTCGCGCTGAAGTGGGTAAACTCCGAACCACTCGTTTTTTCAATACTGAGAACTTAGTATAGCTCTCCCCAATACCGGGATATGTTAACGAAGTCTCGTGCGGAGAAGCGTCAGGCCCGAGAGCCAAAGCTGACCGATGGAGGCGAAGCCTTTATGCCGGACGATCACTCAGTCGCAGATTCAACATCTACCTGGGGGGTGGTCAATGTCGACTCCACCGACGACGCAGATCCCACGGAGGAACTACGCGTTCCATCGTCGAAGTACCCTTGGGCCATCTGTGAGTATCTTGTCTCATTGATGGGTCGCGTCAGCTGAGCAGTCCCTCGTAGCCTTCGAAAGCGGTGGTCTTACCATCAGCTGCACTGTGCTTTTCGCCGAACAGTTTGACGCACTGCGTAGAACGTATGACTGCGAGAAGAGTCTCATCGAATCCCTCGCTAGGTGCGTCAAGTGGGACGCTAGTGGAGGAAAGTCAGGCTCTGCATTTCTGAAGACCCTTGGCAAGTAGCTCTTCGTGAGCTATCAGGACATGATCTGACGATAATCATAGATGATCGCTTCATTGCCAAAGAGCTCTCAAGAGCGGAGCTTCAAGCGATGGAGACGTTTGCGCCCGCGTACTTTGATTATATGTCCTCGGCTGTAGTCGCTCATGTATGTATGTCGCCCAAGCTGTCGCGAAGCCGCTAACGTGCCCTTCTGTAGCGTCCGACTCTTCTTGCTAAAATCTTTGGTTGCTACAAAATCAGCTTCAGGAAGACGCATAAGGACAAGGGAATCAAGTCAAAGCCCACCCAGATGAACTTGCTCGTAATGGAGAACCTCTTCTACGACCGCCGGTTCTCGAAGATCTATGACCTCAAAGGGTCTACGAGAAACCGTCATGTTCGGTCCACTGGTCGGGAGAATGAGGTGCTTCTGGACGAAAATTTGGTTGAGAGTAAGTGGTACCTCAACTGAGTAACATTAGTAGGTATTGACGTCTGTTGCAGCTGCGCACCTCGCGCCTTTCTACTTACGGGAACACTCAAAACGCATCCTTCGGGGAGCCCTCTACAACGATAGCAGATTCCTTGCCGACATCAACGTGATGGACTATTCGTTGGTTGTCGGGGTCGACAGCACCAACAACGAGTTGGTTGTGGGCATTGTTGGTAAGTTTATGAACAACGACGCTCAAATTTAAATTACTGACGGTTATTCTCAGACTACATTCGCACGTACACTTGGGATAAGAAGCTCGAGAGCTGGGTTAAGGACTCAGCTTTCCTCGGCGGTGCGAACAGGGGAGAACCAACGATCGTAGGCCCCAAGCAATACAGACAACGTTTCCTGAGTGCCATGGAGAGGTATTTCCCTTTGGTGAGTGGCATGCTGGACAACAACGACACAAGGGAAATTGATGTTCCCATAGGTCCCCGATCGTTGGATGAAGCAGCACGACGCCCCCGAAGAAGAGGGCAACAATCTTTTGGAGCTCTGGCCGGACTGGTGATAGCATTCGCACTTATCTTCAATTGTTTCATTCTGTTCATAATTGTTGTAATATCTGGACTCATGACGGGCGTATTCATTTGTATCTGCAAGCACGCATCACTGTACCACCACTTATAATTAGGCCTACCCTCAGTAGATCACGGCTTATAGTTTGGAAGCATAGATACAATCACATAACATACTCGTGCAGAACATATTACAGTTTACGCATCTTGGTCTTCTCCCTCTCGGACAACCGCTTCGTCTGCTGCTTAATCTCAGAGGAAAACTGCTCCTTGGTCGCTTTCTTCTCGACACGGCGCTGCTGCTTCTCGGATTTGACAGACAGCTTGCGAGCCTTCTTTTCTTCCTTTGACTCGTTCTTCGACCGAGCAATGGTGACGCGTGCCGCTGCATCATCCGAGGTCAGGATACTGACGAAGTGCCAAAGCGTCAGCTTACGCTTATGGTCATCCCCATCCTCCTCTTCTATGGTACTGATCTGCTTGCCTTTCGGGGGACCCAGTGAGAGTTTGTGTCCGTTAACAGTCGGGAGACCGGTCTTCGGATCAAGCTGGATTTTTGGCACGGGCTTCGTCTGGCGGGCACGGATAAGTCGTGGATGATTTTCCAAATTGCTATATGTAGCTGCAACGAAATTAGCGAAAACGTCGTCATACAACGAACAAAACATACACAGGATAGTTTCGCAATCCCATCTGTCTTTTCCTTCGTCTACGTCGACGGGCATGAGGATGTCTTCATCGCTCGCGCTACCCTGGCCATCATGGATCTTCGCCTCACCCAAAGCTTTGCGAATAGTATCCAGCTTCTCCGTAGGGGTGCCTCCTGCCAAGACGGGGCGCATCTTCCCGCCGAAGATCTCATAATTCTCAAGGAACTCGCTCATCATATCATCGAAGTCTTCACGAGAGGTGAGGAGTTCTGGTGTGGAGTCATCATCCGAACCAACATCGTCCTCGCCCTCGCCTTCATCCGACTCGTACTCCTTTTCGATCTGAAGCACCGCATGTGGATTGATTTCAATCGTTGCCAATAAAAGTGGCAGGGGCTTACTTGATCAAAGCGTTCGTCCAAGGTGGTTAAACCTTCATTACGGAACATAGACGAGCTACTCATGCTGTAACCCGATGCATCAGACGCTCCCTTGCGTCGCTTCTTGCCTCCAATGACGGATAATTGGGGGAGGGTACCGATAGTGTCGCCGCCATCAGAATACTCGTCTAGGTCGGAGCCGTATTCCACTGCAACCGCCCTCTGTCCCTGCTTGAAACGAGCAAACCTAGCTTCCCACCCTTCGCCCTCGCCTTCTTCTGCGTCATTTTCTCTCATGTCCGCATATTCTTCGCCCTCTTCTACACCTTCCTCGGTAAAGTCAAAGTCGACACACTCGTCCGACCCTCTTTCGCCGTGCGCCACCAGCTCTGCGAAGAAGTCATCGCCAATCTCTTCGTCCACGAATTCGTCGTCCTCTAAAGCTTCCAGGACCTGCCTTAAATGCGGGTCCATATCCGGCTGAAACTCTGCTATTGAGGACGGGACGGCTTGCTGGGACTCATAGTTCCTCGGTACCTCCGAAGCCGAAGGCAGAGCCTCTGCCGGGAGGTCGAGTAAAGTGATGGGTTCCTTCGCCTTGGATCCACTCTTCGCCTTCAGCTGCGAGGGCGCCTCAATGAGGATGCTCTCCACGCCCTCCTCGTGCACACCAACAGGCTTCAGATGCTGCATGTAGTCATAGTCGGTATCGTCGAAGTAGATACCGTATGCCGCCGCCTCTCCGATGTTTGCACGCTTACCATCGTGCTCGAGGTCTTTGGGATCTATGGAAAGCTCGAGGTCCGCACGAGTCTTTCCCTGCACAGAAATTTGATGCTCAGCGCAAGGTGAATAGCACAAAACGCACCTTCCTGGCGTTTCCCCTCTCGACCGCCTTCAGCACATGCTGGCTCGCTTCCGGGTCATGAATAAGGGGATCTCGCTGCGACCGATGGACAAGCTGAAAATGTTTTACGCCTGGTTGCCTGAAAATAGATTTCGACTTTGGTGCCATGTTTTAGCTGATCTCCGCGAAAGACTAGGCAGGCCAGGAGAAGGCGAGCTTTGCAGACAAAGTGTGACAGACGCTTAGCTAGGCTTAGCTGCTAGCGGGAAGGTTGAGCATCAAGATGGGATCTCCAAATCGGGAGATGGCTTACGTAAGGCGTTCGCCTGTGGGCAGCATCGGTCACCTCAACGAACAACTTCAAGTCGTTCCCGCCGTCGACGACTGCGGCAAACCCACACATCTCGTATTCCAATTTTGCCAATCGTATCATAACTCTTCACGCTGCTACTTTTGACTACCTGGGGTCTCCTTTGTGGCCATCTGGCGACCATCCGAGCGCGGGAGTGCGCATTCAGGAGATCCGAGCATGCAGAAGGAGCGTACTCGTCGTGGGTTCTCTATATACGTGTCATCTTTCTATCATTCGTTGTGGGTGATAATTGACATGCTTTTCGGCCTACACTAGTCACCAAAAGGTCGTCCTTGAAGTCGATTTTTCGGGAAGGCTCTGGGTACGCCGCGCACTGGTCCTCCGTCGAGTCTGCCCATATTCACGTCGGATACCCCTTAGGGCTACACGGAGCTCACAGTATTACCTGAAATTAAAGATCTGAGGACCGTACACCTACACTCCAGACAATGCAGTGCGTAATTAGAGTACATCTTTTCGGTGCCGCCTCACCAGAAGTTGCAGCTATTCACGCCGTAACGGTCGCATCCCAACCCGCCGAGTTCGTTCATAACGACCCGCTGAGTAATCTGCATATTTCTAAACCCTCGGATTGCCACACGCACCCCGAACTTAAGCGGCAAGTGTATTCGGCTCTCGCGGAGGGCGATGAGGGAGAGCTCTCAATCGGGATACCGAAAGAGGTGGTAATCAGGCAATCTGGACATACTCTGTCCGGCATCACTGGTGAGGGTGAGTTCCTTGCTCTTCATATAGGCTTGTGACTTGGTCAAAGCAAGCTCACGATTTGTTGAAGTTGCTACCCCTGAACCTCAAACTCCAGGATTGGCTGCGCAGACTGCCGCCGCCTCTTTCGAGTTCGCACCGATAACTGTGAAGGTTACCTACAGCCTACGCAATCCAGTAGACGGCATCCAGTTCGTTCTTCCTTCAGATGCTTATCCCTATGTGAGTGCATGACACACTGCGCGAGAACTCCCCATACCTAATGTTTGGCGCAGCGCATACCACATGTGTACACTACACCGTCCTCGGCGGATGCTGCCAGGTGCTGGGTTCCTTGCGTCGACAACTTATGGGAGAAGTGCACCTGGGAATTTGAATTTGTCGTACCGCGACACTTGGAACAGACGGACGACGAGCCCAGATTGGATGACGACGATGAGCTTCAAGAGAGCGAGTACCCCACTGTTGTTGCTTGCAGTGGCGAGCTAATTGAACAAGCAAGTGCTGATCTGTAAACAAACTGCTCTGCGCTGACCCAAGGGATGCAGGTTTCACACCCGCATAATTCGGGGAAGACGATCTTCCTATTCGCACAAACTACGCTCACGTCAGTGCAGCACATTGCATGGGCTGCAGGTCCGTTTCATGTTCACACCATTCCCCCTGAGATGTCTTCCGCCGAGGATACCTCTGGGTCTTCCCAGCCGCTTATGCACGCGTTCTGCCTTCCGGGACAAGAACAACAGCTGATTACGTCGATATCCTTCATGCGATCGGCCATGAGCTTCTACTCCTCCGAGTTCGGCTCTTATCCCTTTGGCTCTTATAAGCTGGTGTTCGTCGACGAAATGCCGACACAGCGGTTTGACGTGGCGACACTATCTCTTGTCACTGTCGATCTCCTGCACGGTGACGACGCCATAGACCAGGTTTACGAGACTCGGCTGTGCCTCGGTCATGCTTTAGCTTGCCAGTGGGTAGGTATCAACATCCAGCAGAAGACGTGGTCCGACACTTGGCTTGTCAATGGCCTTGGCCTTCACATCACTGGTCTATTCCTCAGGAAGCTGTTGGGAAACAACGAGCACCGGTTCAGGCTCAAGAAGGATATGGAGCGGGTGGCCGAGATGGACAACGGCGCACAGTACCCCATTTGTCAACCACAGGTCCTGGAGCCTCCCGACCCGAATCAACTTGCGTTCATTAACTTGAAGGCTCCGCTCATCCTTCATATCTTGGACCGTCGGCTCGGGAAATCGGGTACTTCGCTTGGATTGTCTCGTGTCCTACCCAAGGTGTTCCTCTCTGCTATCAGTGGAGAGATGCCTAGCAACCTTATCTCCACTCACGCGTTCCTCCGAATGTGTAGAAAGGTCAGCGGCATTGACCCACGGTCTTTCGCTGAGCAATGGATCTACGGTAGTGGCTGTCCGACCTTTGGCTTCTCCGCTAGCTTCAATCGGAAGAAGATGGCCGTAGAGATTCAGATGCGCCAGGACGCACCCGCGTACAAGGTCCACGAGAGTAGTGAGATCAACAAACTCGTGTACAAGCCTGTTCCCTTCTTCGAGGTATCAAAGTTCGCTTTTTAACACTTGACGCCCATGTACTCACTCCGTTTGCAGGGCCAAATGACGATCCGAATCCATGAGGCCGATGGCACTCCATACGAGCACGTCCTAGATATCCGGAGTCCATTCAAGCGGTACGAGGTTCCCTTCAATACGAAGTATAAGCGTGTACGACGGAACACGAAGCGATATCTGGCCCGCCAAGCTGCTGCACAGGCAGCAGCAGAAGGCGATGCCGAGGCTGCCGCTGCGATGGACATGGTCGACATGGGGTTCGGCCTCGAGATTTGGGAGAAGGAGAAGGAGCGTGAGAACTGGAAGGTGGCAGACTGGACGGAGGAAGACGAGCAGAATATGTCCGGTCAGACCTACGAGTGGATACGCATCGATGCGGACTTCGAGTGGATTGCCAACATCGCTTTCGACCAGAAGGACTACATGTGGGTATCGCAGCTACAAAGGGATAGGGATGTTGTCGCACAGTATGAGGTATTCATATTCTATGCCCTTTATGATGCGTATCGAATATTGACTTTCTATCAATTAAAGGCAATAGCTGTACTTGCTAAGCAACCCAACGCGATCATCTCCAGTACCTTCACGAAAACGGTCTTAGTTTCGAACTACTTCTTCCGCATCCGCTGCGAGGCCGCACAAGCTCTCGTGACCGTAAGTTAACCTAAATCCACTAGTCCTGAATCATCTACTTACAATACCGTAGTGCGCCATACAACGGCTGGACTGGATCGGTCTCTTCCACCTGTTCAAGCTCTTCCTCCGGTATTGCTATGACCCTGAAGATCCTAACCAGGATCTCTTTCGTCACACGTACGTACCGAGGCCGAATGACTTCAGCGATTTTGCGGAATACTTCGTTCGTAAGGTTGGTAGTCCCGTCTTTCATAGCGTAGATCTGTCCTCATGAAACGTAGAGTTTGCTACAAACAATTTCCCGCGTGCGGTTCGAGAACGGCAAGACTCCCGCCGTCGTTCGGCAATTTTTGATTGACCAGTTACGGTATAATGACAATACTTATAATCCTGTGAGTTCTCAGCTTCGTTGACTGCGACTCAACTAACTCCTATGCAGTTCTCGGACGCGCTGTACATTTGTTCCATAATTTCCGCGCTCGCCTGCGCTACGGTGTCCACAGTCCCTCCGGAACGGGGAGAGTTTGTCGCTGCTGAAGCTCGACCTCCGATGGATCCCGAGGATGACAAGCTGCTTAAGGAAGCTGTTTCGGAGGTCGACAGATATAGGAGCATGGATCGCTTAATACCCTCGGTACACAATGTTGTCTCCATTGCAACTATAGAGGTCAGTGGACTACCGTTATCACGCAGCGCTCTTGTTCACTCCTTTCTTAGTTTTACCTTCTCTTGAGCGTCGCGAACTTGATACCGCATGATCCACGCATGCTCATTCCACTAACTAGGTAACTCGGTTAAGTGCTCCTCCCTTTCATGTCAGTGACACGATTTGCAGGGAGGGCAATTTTACCCAAGTCCGCATGGCCGCTTTCGATTCTCTATTCTTCACGAAGTGGTATACGCCTGCCATTATGCAGTATATCCTTGCTACTATGACCCACGACTCGTCTCGCGTTATTCGTCGACATGTTGCTCGCAATGCCTGTCAGAGTTTTGCTCTGTTGGTTACGATGGGCGAAATGGACGCTCTCAAGAAGTCCAAGTCTGTCCTGGTTGAAGACGATGGCGCCGGCAGCGAGAACAAGAAAGAGAATCAGAAGAGCGAGGTGGACCTCATGTTCAAGGCTCTAAGGAAGGATCAAGACGTCGGCAAGAATCCCGTTCTGAGGAATTTCTTATTACCGATCGCTCTGTACGTATACTCACGTTTAGAGGGATGAGAGGACTGATAATGCATTAGGTCGGCGGACGTCGATCGCGAGGTGCGTTGGTGCCTCCTCAAGATGGCAGATCTCATCTTCCGTGCCGAACCAGAGGCGCCGCCCAAGGTCACCATTCATTTGCCTCCTACACCTGTGGTGGAAGTGCCGCCGCCGCTTCCAACACCTAAACCTCCCCTTAAGCCGCAGAGGACGTTGTCTCTCAAGGCCGGCGTTCCCAACGTCAAGAGCCCGCTAACACCTACGGTTGGTTCCACCAAATTCAAGTTGCCCGGCACAGGCACTCGCGTAGAGGTCACGGCTCGGGGTCCCGAGACACCTCGCACAGAGGCGAAGAAAGCCACAAACGATGGATTTGCAGTACCCAAGCCTCCCGCGCCGAAGAAGACAGAGATCAAGTCGGCTCCGAAGAGCATTCCCAAGGCTCAGTCTGGCGGCATGTCCACACAAGATCTTGTTGGATGTCGTGCTACCCTCAAGAAGCTCATCGCACATAAGTCTGCGCCGGTGTTTAGGCAGCCGGTCGACCCCGTTCGCGACCGTGCCCCAGAGTGAGTGATATATTCGGTCGCTACTCGCCGCTTGTCTAACCTCTCACAGTTACATGCAGGTCATCAAGAATCCAATGGATCTCGGTACTATGGGAGTCAAGCTCGACCGGGGCATGTATAAGAACCGTTCTGAGTTTGAGCAAGATTTCCGCCTCATGTGCACTAACGCCAAACTCTATAATGCCCCACGGAGCTTCGTCTACGACGAGGCGGTTCGACTCGAGTCTTACTTCGATAAAGGTACGTTCCCAATGCCCTTTGTTAGCTTTCAGCATGCTCACGTCGGTGCAGAATGGGCTCGAGTGAACAAGACGTTAGAAGCTAAGGCTGCAACAATACGTAAAGCAGAACCTGCGCCTGTGCCTGTCGTTAAGACGCCAAGTATCAAGATACATCCATCTGCTAAGATTCCACCCACTCCTGCGACACCCACTCCTGCGCCGTCTGCGTCGTCCGCTACGCCACGCCCTGTCATCAAGCTTAAAGTTGGTGGCCCGAAGCTCAATGGTTCTCCAGCACCAAGTCCCGTGCTGACCCCGGCTGCTGAGACTCCCAAGCCCAAGAAGCCAAAGGATAAGAAATCAAAGGAGCCTCGATCGACGCCCTTGGCTACGTCGACCACGGCTGAATCCTACTTCGATGACCAATCTGCAGACGCCGACCTTCTCGAGGAGGTCATCGCCATTGAGAGGGAGCAGAACGAAGTGCGGAAACAGCGAGCTGTTAGCACAGAGAAGGAGAAGCGTGACAAGGATCGCGAGAAAGACAGGGAAAAGGAGCGAGAGAGAGAGCGAGACAGGGAAAAGGAGCGAGAAAGGGAAAAGGAGCGAGATAGGGAAAGGGAGCGAGAAAGGGAGCGAGAAAGGGAAAAGGAGCGCGAACGAGCCAAGGAGAAGGAACGCGAAGCTGAACAGAGAGAGCGCGAACGCGAGCGGGAGCGAGACCGAGACCGAGAGAAACAAGTACTGCCGAAGGTGGTTATCGGTAAGCGTAAGAAGGCAACTCCTGCGGATGACGAAGACGAGATCCTTGCTCTCGCGACTCCCGCAAAGAAGGAGAAGTCTGTTGCATCGTCGCCCGCTCCCATCGCGGGCCCTTCAGCTGTTCCCTCCGCACGTTCCTCGGAGAAAGGTAGCGCGAGACCGTCGCCCGCGCCTCTCCTGGCTGTACAGGCGAAGAATGGCATTCCCAAGAATGACAAGTTGCCCAAGGAGCCATCGGTCCCCAAGCTTTCTATCAAGGGCAAAGAGCGTGAAGCTCCCAGCCCTATTTCGACGCCAAAGCTCAAGAAGCCGTCTCCACCCCACCAGATCGCGACACTTGTCAACGAGAGGAAGTGCAAGGACATCCTCCGCACGCTCATCAAGATTCCCGACGCTGCCATCTTCCTGCAGCCTGTCGATCCTATCCGAGACGGATGTCCCACTTACTATGACGAGATCCAGAACCCGATGGACTTCAGTACCATGCAAGCCAAGCTGACTCAAGGCGAATATCAGACAATGGACGACTTTGCCAAAGACGTCGAGCTCACCCTCGCCAATTGCCGACAATTCAACCCGCCGACTACTTATCCTGTACACTGTGCAGATGTCGTCGAGAAAGCTTGGAAGTCGCTATGGTCCAAGACGATGGCCAAGAAGCTTCAGCCCAACGAGAAGAAAGCACTGCAGATCCTGATGAATAAACTCGTCGCAGACCCTGTGTACGTTCTTTCTAGTTTGTCTCTTCTCACAGTCGCTCACTTGCTATAATATACAGCTCCTTTGTATTCCGCGAACCTGTCGATCCCGTCCTTCTCCAGATACCGACTTACTTCGATGTTATCCCCAAGAAGAACGCAAGAGACCTGCGTACGATACGGCAGAAGCTTGACGCGGAGAAGTACGACTCTATCGATGCTTGGGAGGCGGACTTGGACTTGATGATCGAAAACGCACTGCTGTTCAACGGCGCCGATTCAGAGGTCGGAATTATTGCGGCACAGGTCCGTGACAAGTACAGGGACATGGCGGCGAATATCAGAGGGACTTCTGCGAAGCGCAAGAGCAGCGACAAACCGGGAACGCCCCAGCCCACGAAGAAGGTGAAACTTGGCTGACCCCTTGGCGAGTCTAGTCGTTCGTTCAATGCTGTGTAGCACATTCATTATGTTACTGCTGTGTCCCGTGCTGTATTGTATCATACTGTCGGTTAATTCAACCTCTGTGAGTGTGAATCGAATATTCGGGAGCAAGTGACGAAAGTCCTTCGCCCAGCCCTTGCCAAGCCTTGACATCATGCCACCATTGAAGCATGACTGCTCATAATTCTTTCGCCTTTCCCTCCTTTCTTCACTGCAAACCAACATGATCCATACGCCCCCGATGTTATTCCTGCTCTGTACCGTGCTCATTCTGCTACCGACACAGACGTACGCCTTTGGCGCCGGCGAAATCCCGGACTTTGCGTACCTCAACGGTGAGCTATATCGCATCGCATCACAGATTCGCGTATAAGCGTCGACGCGGACGGCTAAGACACTGACTACCGTATGGACCGGCAGACAAGGCGTTTCGCCATGGAGACATCGAGAACGTGCTTGCTGAGCTCGCCAAGACCGCTGCCGGCGGTGCCGTCGCAGGTGCAAGCCTATTCGGCTTCACGCAGTCCATCTTCAATGCGGCAACCGGAGGCTCCAAGTTCTCGAAAGAAGATGTAAAGAAAGTGTACTTTGTGCGTCCCGCCGTAGTTTGCGTGCAGATCGCGTCTGATCGCGTCGATGGAAGGGTAACTGGCTGCGCGACTACTCGCAGGCGATGGACATCGCAGGGTTGAGCAAGCTCACTGCAGACACACTCGTGCTGATCGTGTCGGTCCTCGGCTTCTTGGCAAGTGTGCCTGCTTATAGATCCTGCGGACATCGACTGACGCGGCGGCGATCAGACGTTTGGCTTCGCCACCGAAGAATACCAAGTCACACCTGATCGCCTCAGAGTGTACCTGCCAGTCGAGCATATCGACAACCCAAAGTGCGCTGGCCCTGTCGTGATCTGTCTAGGTAGTCTCTGAAAACGGCGCATCTCGCAGAGGTTACGCTGAGAAAGAAGGCGATGCCCGGCAATTTCACCCCAAGCTCAGGCCGCCTGTCAACCCTCGAGAGCTTGAGATTGACCCACGCATCGGCATGAAGGTACGCAGCCCCTTGGCTTCCGTAAGACTGTCTTCATAATATTTGTAGAACTACATGGCTACCGAGGGTCGTGGCTGGGACACTTCCACGGCCCATATTCGCCGCACCTTCGGAGCGTGCATCGAGTACGGCCGCCGTGCGCAGGGTCGAGAAGGCGCAGACCTCTGGGAAGCGTTCCGTCTTCTTGGCACCGGTCTCCATACGATGGAGGACCTTCTCGCGCACAGCAATTGGTGCGAGATTGCCCTCCGAAAGATGGGCCACGAGCGAGTTTTCTGCCATGTAGGCGAGAATGGTGGGCGATGCTGGGTCGCCAGGAAATTTTCTCGAGCTGATCGTCGCGGCAGTCATAATTAGCACTCCCAATGGACCTGCCCCTCCGCTCGTGACCGGTACCTTCGGCAGTGCAGACTTCTTGCACTCGTTGATGGGCGAAGCGACAGAGTAAGTCTCAGACGCTTCCGCCGGTGCGCCTCGCTCTGCTGACGTCGTGTTCCCGTCCTCCAGCCACCTGAGCCAAGCGAGCGTCGTCGACCTCTCAAAGAACCTGTCAAACGCCTCGCAGAACGGCGGAGACTCGTCGCTGCTGCGCTCACTGCTCGAGAAGCTGCCCATAGGCGGCTCGCATGACGAGGACAAGGTCTCGCAGGCGGACGAGATGCAGGAGCAGGCCAAGGCGTACCAGTTCAACCCGGACAACATCATGCCGCCCGCAGTCCAAGACCAGCTCCTGCAGCTGCTCAAGTGGCGTGACGACATTTACAGGGATATCCTTAAGAAGATCGAGATGGTACCCGGGCTCGAGAGCCTTATTGACGCGCTTACGAACGCGCTTAATGCTTGTGAGTGGAATTCATAGATTTTTCGTACGCCACTGGCTGACATGTCATGACAGTCGTGTATGCCATTCTTGCGCCTTATCTCACCGTGCGCATCCCTGCTCGTCGTTAAGATACTTTTTGCTGATCTTCCGCATCTCTACCAATAGCCCGTCCTCCAGCAGGTTACCGCGGTCCTAGGCGAAGGTAGCAAAGCCGTTATCGACTCGGACGACCAATACGAAGTCAGCATCAGAGCTTTTTTTTTGCAGAACACTTCGCTGATTTGATTTTGTCACAGGTGTTCAACAACCCGGATGCTTCAGATCCGTCGCACAGTTTGCTATCAAAGGTATATTGCGCCTACAAACGCAAACCGCTGGCAAAATTGACTCACCGAAACTCTTGGCAGGACCACTTCGCTCTCATTTTGAACGAGCCCGCGGGCAAGACGGCCCTCGTCGTCGTCCGCTGCGCCGTCAAGCTTATCGTCGACGTGCGCTCGCTTCCTTTCTTTTTACCGTTGCCATCTGCCTGACGGCCCGGCGGAACAGGCCTGGTACAACCATGAGGAGACTCCCGATAGGGTGATCGACCGGATCCTGGAGGCGTTCCACCACCCGTATTTCAACGTCGGCCGTTCGCGCATCCAGCAGGAGATGTTCGAGGAGATGGAACGTTGGATCGGGGCCCTCGAGCCCGACGAGTCCGAGCGCATCCTTGAGGCCCTGAGCAAGGCACGTCCAACTCCTTTTCTGCCTGCGCACTTGACGCGACGGCTGACGCGAGAAACATGACCTTGGATACAGGAGAGCGTGAGGGCGGGCAAGAACAAGCGACAGGGCTCGGACGACGACGTCGCGTCGTCCGACCAGGTGTACGGCCAGGTTCACGGCCAGGCCGCCCAGGGCTCGTACCCTCAGGGAGGCTACGTGAGCGGAGGCTCGTCCGCTGCTCCAGCCACGCCTGGCACCTACGGCGGCAGCCAGGGTAGGTTGCAGCAGCACGTGCCAGCATTCGAGGCCACCGGCGGAGGATACGACGGTGCCAATCGGTACGAACGTGAGTTTCCACCGCTGATCCTCTATCCGAGACGAAACATGCACTGATATAGTATCGCAGCGTCATATCCGGGGCGTGCCGAAGGGGGCGAGGCCATCGGCGGACGCTCGTACAGAAGCCCACGGCGGACGGAGGAGGCGGCGTGGCGCGGCGGCGGAGATGGCGAGCACTCCTGGAGCGAGCGCACGACCGGCTACAGCGAGGACAGCTACAGCGTCCGGCCTGCGTACCGCAACGAGGACGTCCGCGGAGGAGCGTCGCGTGGATACGGCCAATCGAACGAGCGCGACCCGTACGCGCGCCGTGCGGAGCCGCCCGTGCAGGGTGGCTACGCGCCATCGTACCAGCCTGCATATATGCAGCCGCCGGGAGGCTATGGCTCGCGCGACGGGTACGGGGCGTCCGAGAGCGTTAGGGCCCCCGGTTTTGGAGGCGACGCGGCAGACTATGCGCGCGAGGTGCGCGAGATTGCGGGCTCTGGGAACTATGCGAGCGAGAGCAACGCGTATGAGAGGCGTGGCGCGTACCAAGAAGGCTCGGGCTATACCCGACAGGATGTAGGTTATGGCACGCGGGACGAGGGTTATCGCGGCGGACACGAGGCTGGTGAGGACCGCAGAAGAGGACATGACGCAGACGAGGGCGAACGACGTCACCATGGGCGCATGTACCAAGAGGAGTCTGAGGGGTACCGCGGCGGCTACGACGGAAGCGAGAGCCACGGCGGTGGCGGCGGCTATGGCGAAAACATAAGCCGTGGAGGCTACAGTGATGCCAGCTACGGCGGTGAAGGCTACAGTGGCGAAGGCCGCGGCGGAGGGGGTTATGGTGGAGGCTATAACCAAAGCCAGTCGCGCAGGCAAGGAGGTGCGGACTACGACGGAGAGGAGACGTTCGGTGCCGAACGACTCAACCTAAATGAAGGCGACGGAGAGGAGCCACCCCGCCGCCACCACCACCATCAGCAGCACCATCACCGCCGTGACGACGAGGGATACTAAATCCATACATCAGCACAAATCAGATATGCACAGTACATACCAAGAGAACTGCGTAGCGAATCTGAAGATGAGTGCACAGTCCTGTAATCTTGTTTCCCATGTCGGAGGGAGCGTGCTTGAGCTTGATGAGCAGCGTGAAAGGACGGTGGCGTCGCGCAGTGAATGGGCCGGACATTGGTGTGGGGAGGGTGATGGCTGCGTGTGAGCAGAGAGCTGATGAGGCCCGGAGCGTCGTCGGATGTTGGCGGGCGTTGGGCGTGGAGATCTTTGGGAAGCTGGGAGGGAGCTCCGTTTCCTCGCACTCGCCACGAGACGCGACAGTATCCGAGGTGGTCTTCTCGGGTGCTTGCACAAAGGGCAGGTGTGCTTGTCGGCGGACGAGAGGCTTCTCCGACAGTCGCACGGGGACGCTAGAGAGAAAGGGAGGGATTCGAACGATGACGGGCATCCTCGTGCAGCGAGCCAGGCCAGCCCTGGGCCATTAATTGTAGCACCTGACAATGAAGAATCCAATTACCAAGAGCAGGGTCGGCGGTGTAACGAAATCGCAGGCGATCAGGTTTAGGCGTCCCAAGCGACACAAGCCATATATACAACGGTGGCGGTGCAGACATGTCTCTGCATTGCAAGGCTTGCACCGCAGGCGGTGGCACGCCAACACGGACAACGCAGCCCACAACCTACGCGGAGTTGCTGGGCAGAGAGGGTAAGGGTGGGAGGGAGGACGGCTGGACAGGGTCGTAGAGGCTCCCGGCCACCCGCTGGTGCCCAAAACGCGTCCGCCCGATTGCGTCGTGGTTTTTCTGCTTCCCGATCGAGTGCGCACGAATCCCGCGGGCGTCCGTCGCACCGCGAAAGAATGGGCGTGCGCGGATTGGCTGTGCGGGGTGTCCGGGGCGGGTTCCTTTGTTGGGTGCGAGCGCAGCACCCACTCTCGGGAGGGGGGCCTCTTGCTGCACCGTGCACGGATGGGGCAGCGCGGGACCAGGGGAGCGGCACGCCCGCGATAACCTTGGTCGGAGAAAGCGTTGGGCAACGTTCAGACGTCCAGCCACCGTTGCGCGCGCGGACGTGTGGTGGGCTTGGCTCCTGCCACCCCAGAAGCAGGACACGGACCTGTGAGTGATCCACATTCGTGGTCGGTCGTGGGAAGGAAATGGGAACGTGTGCAGAGGAGTACATGGGCGTCCGGGCGGTGTTGTCGGAGGAGAGGACGAGCAGCCACTTGTCCAGTGTCGGCAGGCAGAGGAGGAATGGACCTGTGACCACCAGGTGCGGGCGAGAGGCGGTCGTGTCTGAGGAAGGAGGCTCTGCTCCAGGACATATGAACGAAGCGCGGTTTAATTAAGGCATTCCTCGGCGTCGCGGTCGGGCTCTCCGTTATCGGTGCTCGTATCAGTCTGCGCTGACGCGTCGAGGGCTCGGATGGAAAGCCCAGCGTACTGCAACGTAAGAGGTGATTCTTGGTTACGTTTGCAGTTCTGGAGAGAGCCCTTGTCTGATTGTCTGGAATTCGCACAGGTACCCAAGTTGCAGCGTCCAAGACAGAAGCACCAGATTAGGTTTCCTGCGGGAATCAAGGTGAGGGAGCGGCGGAGGAGAAAGAGAGGCTCAAGCATCGGCGTCGGACGATGGACATCAGAGCGAATCCGACTCGCCAGGGCTCGACTGGCTGCCGCCGGCGACCTGACCTGCCATTCCTGGCCCGGGCTCCGGCGTCCTACACTGTTTCTCACCGCCCACGTGGCGGCAGCGTCAGTGTCTCCGCCGAGTGAGTTGCTCCCGAATAGCGTTCGCTCCTCTTCCGCCGGCAACCTTTGCAGCCTTGATTTCTGCTCAAGATGGTTATAACTACGGCACTCACTCCTCGTCCCTCCGCCCACCCTCCCCGCCCTCCCGCCCTCTCCACCGTCTCGCGAACACTCCCCGAGACATGCACCGCCATCCGCCGCAGCCCGGCTACCCCCCCGCCGACCCCTCGTCCACCCCCGACTCCGGCGACGAGAGCGACACAAGCGCCGTGTCCGACTCCCTCATGAGCGTGTCCGCCCACGCCAGCTCGATCACGTCCGTCGAGATGGCCAGCGTGCGCTCGGCCTCTCCGTCTGTCATCTCCATAAACAGCTGCATCCGCGCCAGCGTCTTCAGGCACGAGTACGGCCGTCGGCTCAACAACTACTCGGAAGTCTATCGGCTCCCGGCCGACGAGGACGAGCAGGAGCGACTCGGTGAGCACAATTGCGCCTGCGCGCGCGCGCGCGCACGGACGATGCGACCTGCGCTGTGTTGTGCGTCGAGCTTCGCCGTGCTGAGCAATCCCTGATCCGCAGACCGGCAGCACCACATGTTCATAGAGGTCATGGGCAAGTACGCGCCGCCGCTGCCCGAAGTGCTCGCGCACGAGCCTGGCGTGCCCAAGTCCGTCGTCGACCTCGGCAGCGGGAGCGGGAGCTGGTGAGTGCTGCTCTCATCCGTCCACGTGCTGTTTATCGTCTCCCCCCGTGCGGTGGGAGGCAACCGCTAAGTCCGCGCGCGTGTGTGCACAGGATCCTCGACGTCGCGCGTGACTTTCCACACGTGCAGGCAGTCGCGGTCGACCTCATTCCGCTGCAGGTGACGTGCGTGGACGGGCCGTGCCCAAGCAGGATGCACGGTTACCAACACCCGTCCTGTCGACACATGCCGCCGAACTGCAGGTGCGACCCTCCTTCTGTCTCAGACACGCTCCAGAAATTGCGTTTTGCCGACGCGGCTCTTTCTCTCCCTCTCTCCCAGGAGCGAAATCGATGACATCAACCTCGGGCTGCAACACTACACAGGCGAGTTTGACGTCTCGCACGTCCGCCTGATCTCGTCTGGGGTGAGTAGCAGTGTGTGTGTATGCGCGTGTGCGCGCGCCTCTCTCTTTGCGCTCGCCGCCGCCGCACCGATCGCGTCGGCCTGGCATCGGTTCCCCACATTGATATTCGGTTGATCGCGATCTCTAACTCCCGTCCGATCACCCTTAGATCCGCGACTACGATGGGCTCATCGATCAGATTGCCCTGACCCTGAAGCCGGGCGGGCTCGTCGACCTCACCGAGTTTGACTTTCGCGTGTACGGCGCCGACCGGCGGCCGGCGCCGCTCGAGGACGAGGGCGGCGTGGGCGCAAGCGCGCTCGCGCGGTGGATGCACCTCGCGCACCGCGCCGTGCAGATGCAGGGCGGCGAGCCCGACGCAGCGAACCACTTGTACCGGTGGGTGTCCGCGCGCGCGTGCTTCCGGGACGTGTGCTACCGCGAGTGGTGGATCCAGACGACGACGTGGAACACGGGCACGGACGCGTGCGCGGCGGCGGCGAACCGCCATGGCGCGTCGATGCGAGACGACATCCTCGTAAGTTTCGCACGGCCCCGCCCGCATAACCAACTCATTTCCCTTCACGAACGGCAGGCCTTCCTCCTGTCCGGGCGCCCATTGCTGCTGGGCACCGGCGTTCCCGAGCAGATCCTCGACCCGCTCGAAGAGGCGGCGCGGCAAGAGCTCCTGGAGGGCAGGGTCCCCGGGTACATTCGCGTGGAACAAGTCTATGCGCGCAAACGATAACATTGGCACCCCCCTCCGTGCACGAAAAAGCAAGCAAGCTCGCTACAACACTCTCACTTCACACTACTGGCATGTTCCTGTTGCATCTGCATTTGTCTGTCTCGGACCATGTTGTCTCCCTGCTGCATGCTGCATACTTACATTATAGTACTACTAACTGACTCTGCTATCGTCCTGTACCTCATATCGCTGTAATGTGTCTCATTGTTATCCCAGCATTTATTATATTTGTATTTGTAGCGGTAGCGAACTTGCTCCCTGAGTGCAGTCACGATCGAACACCGCGAGTATGGGACTACGCCGGCGACTAGTACCAGCTCGCTTTGTTGTTTCATGTCCTCGGACCGCCGACGGGACGGGCTGGGTTGTACCTTGCTGTGCCCATTTGCTAAGCAGGCAAAAAGTCTGCTCTAACCCTATTTATCCGAGCCAGGGTGCTCGCTGCCAGCTCCTCGGAGCTCCAGCCCCACATTACACACACAGAGCAGGGCCCGAAAAACGCGGCCGCATGACATATGCAAAGCAGGGACCCCAGCCCAGCGGCGGCCTCGTGGCGCACCGACGGAGATGGACGGCCGGCGGCGGTGGGAGGAGGCGGAAGTTGCGGAGGCGCCCCGGGCGGAGTGATCGCCGCTGAATTGTTTATTGAACGCTTCGCGGAAGCAAAACGACATGTGTGCATGCGCGCGCGGGGAAGGGTCGCGCAAAGAGAGATCGACAGAGAGGCGGACGTCGCGATCGTTTTGGCGGCGGTGACAGCCTGCAATGTTGCCGGGAAAAAAAAACAAGCGACACGCGGAGGACGACAAGGGCGGACGGCGGGACGAGGACAGATGCGCACGCGACACGACACGACACGACACGCGTGCGGCGTGTGTGTCGTCGCCAAGCCAACGACGACGACGAGAATCCCGCTCGCTGCTAGTGCGGCGGAATAGCGATTGGGTCCTTTGGCTAGGCGGGCTGGGGGCTGTGCAGGGGCCTGCCCGCGAGGCGGCGGCGTGTCACAGAAGCCAAGCCACGCCCCCTGACGTTGCCCTCCAAGAACAACGGCGCACTGGACCGTGTTGGTGTGGATGGGCCTCCGCCGCCGCCGGGCCCGCGTGGTTCCCGTGCGTGCGTGCGTGTAGCGCATGACGCTGCATTACGCCTGGGGCCTACGCGGGTAGGGCCTGCCTTTCGGGGAAACGAACTCGCCGCGCCCGTGCGCTCATGCGTGCGCGGTCCGCAGCGGCGCGATCCCTTGGAGGCTTCAGGTCCGCAGGCTCTGCGCAGTTGGCTTCCTGAGTATGGCAGCACAATTATGCGAGATCTGTAATGTGTCCTGCTTGTTCACTTTGATGCGACCTACCCTGAAGCGCCGAAGAAACCGATGATAAAGGAAAGCGCCTGCATCTCATCAACTTCGAGCTCGCAAGCAAGCAAGCAAAATCTGAAGATGCGACACACAGGGTTCATATGCCCCACTCAAGGCTCCGTTGTATACAATATTACTTTCTCCGGCGTGATCCCGCAGGCCTTCAGCTTCAACCTCTGATAAGGAGTATGGACCGCCGCTCTGGGCGGATGCCCTGTACTGCGACCGCAACTTGCTTCTCGGGCCGAGCACTTCGACGGTACACCCGAATAACACCGCGCAGGGTCCGAGGATCCTCAACAACGCGTTTCGCGAGGTTCCTCGTCGGTGACACGCTCGCGGCGCACGATCGCGAGATGACCTCACGGCGGGGCTCGTCGAATTCGAACTTTTCGAGCATTCGCTCTCGCGGATCAGCGACATAGGCTTTCCCGGACACGCTGGTGACCCTGCAACGTTCCTGGGCCCTCGCAAACGTGGCTCGCTGAACCTTCGCTCCTGCCGCATATGTGGCCTCGCGCACATGCAAGTAGGCACGGGCCCAGTTTCCTAGGATGCTCGGGCGGCATGCATCCGAGGACGCGATCTGCCGCCGAACGGCCGCGGTTGGAAGCCACGCAAACCTTGCGTTGCGTAAGCACCACACCGGGGACCGCACCATGGTATCGTACACTGCACTGCTAGCCGTGCTCCAGCTGGTGACGTCTGCGACGCTTGTTCACGCACAGTGCACTCCGCACGGCGCACTCGCGTTCCGCTCGCCCGTCACCACAGCCTCCGGCCTCGCCGCGACACCCATCTTTGCCGGCCTCGCGACCCCGCGCGGCATCGTGTTCGACGGCGCAGGGGCCCTCCTTGTCGTCGAGCGTGGACTCGGCGTCACCGCGTTTGTCGAAGATGCGCCCGGCTGCGACGGCTGGCTCCGGTCGGTCGTCCTGCAGAACGCGAACCTGACGCAGGGCATACAGGTCGACGGCGCGCGGCTGTACGTCAGCACGTCTGGCGAGGTGCTCCGGTTCGCGTACGACACCGCTGCGCGGCGGGTCACCGGCGAGCCCGAGGTCGTCGTGAATGGTGTCCCGCCCGACGGAGGTGCGTCTGTCCACTGAACGCTGCCGGAACCTGTTGTGCTGAGACGAGTTTAGAACTCACCACCCGCCCGATCCTCCTCTTCCCGAGCACCAACGCGACCCACATCCTCGTCTCCAGCGCACCCGCGGCGAACATCGACCCCTCCGCGCGGAACGCGTCCTCGGGGCGTTCGCAGGTGCGGCGCTTCGCCCTGCCCTCCACTCGCAGTGCGTCACCCCAGGACTTCTTCGCGGGCACGCTCCTCGCGTTCGGGATCCGCAACCCCGCAGGGCTCGCCTTCCTCCCGCCGCACTCGTCGAACCTGTGGGTCGTTGAGAACGGTGCGAGCATCGACAACACGACGGGCCTCACGCCCACGTTCGTGAACGACAACCCGGCCGACGAGCTCGAGTTCGTCGACGCCGCCGCCGCAGAACCTGGGAGTGTCAACCGGTTCTACGGCTTCCCGGACTGCACGACGCTGTGGAACCCGAACGCAGACCCTGTCGGGGACCCGCAGTTCCTCGGCTTCAAGACAGGTGAACAGTTCAGTTTGGAGCTTGAGCCGCAGAGAGGCGACGCCTTCTGCCAGAACCCAGAGGATAACGTGCCGCCTAGACTGTCTTTCCAGGTGAGCAGCTCGCTGCCTGCTATCTCTTGACATGAGGACTTCGACGCTAACTGCTTTCTTTATAGGCACACTCCGTCCCGCTGGACATCAAGTTTTTCCTCCCCGCCGGCACGGAGCACGACGCGACGCCGGCCTTGCCTGCGTCCTGGGCCGGCGACGCGTTCGTGTCCTTCCACGGCAGCTTTGACCGGACGCCGCCCACGGGTTACGGGGTCGTCAGGCAAGTGTCCCTCGTGTCGGAGATGTCTTGCGTGGTGCACTGACGACGACGCTCGACTCACCAGGGTGCCGTTCAGCGGGCTACAGCCCTCGGCGCCGCCTTCGTCGCAGACCGGGTACACCTTCCTCGCACAGGCGACCAACCTCACCAGCTGCCCCGGCACGTGCATCCGTCCGGTCGGCCTCGCCTTCGCGGACGACGGACGGCTGTTCGTGAGCAGCGACTCTAGCGGCGAGTTGTTCGTCATCTCGAAAATGACTTGATCGTGTCATGCGCCGAAGTTGAATTATGCAGGATTTACTGTACAAGTATTGAGGTGACAATGTCCAAGGAGAAGTAAACAAGAGGCTGCGATAGCGAGACTACACTCTAGGCAAGGTCAGAAGTCGACGTTGGGCTTGGAGAGCCCGTGGAATTGCATTCTGTCAAGGATAAAACTAATAGGCGTGGCGTAAGTAATATCTGACGGATCTGCGAAGCCAGTACCGCCAGTAAGGACGCCGCCAATGCGTCCTTGGCCGTCGACGATGACAGAGCCTGAGTCGCCCGCGAGCGAGAAGGGGCCATGCTTGGAGTCGCACGGGATAATCGTCCATTCTTTTGAAGTCCCGTAAACGCCATACTTAGAGTAGCCTTCGCGGACATAGGAGCAGATTTCGTTGGCACGGCCAATGGTTAGGCCAGTGGCGCGGCCACGCTTAATGACCATGAGGCAGCGGTCGTTGTTTTCGTCCGATGAAGCTGGGTGCTTCATTTCTTCGTCGTGAATGATTCCCTTGAGCTTCAAAAGATAATCGTCCGGGTACTCAAATGATTTGAGATTTGCAAAGTCTCAGAGTTCCCGCCCTTGTTGGCTCGGAAGAAAAGGCCGCCGGTACCCTCAGTCCGAGGTGTGGCCTGGGCACAGATGGAAAGGCCGAGCGTCGTGGTAAGGGGCTCGCGGATATCGAGTGTGGGGTCAGAGAAGTGCGTGGTTGTGAGGAACTTGGGACCGGCCGTGCGGGTAACAACCGACTCGCGAATCTCGACTTCAATGTCAGCAATATCGTATTCTCTGATCACCTCCAGGCACTTGAAGGCCACAACGACGCCGTCATCACCAGAGAGTGATGCGGGCACCACGCCAATCCAGAGGATCACAGGCGCGGAAGACTCTCCGGTGTAACCAACGCGTACGACATCGGTGCAGGTCCAATCCACCTTCGTCGAGTCTAGAACGGCGTGAAGCTTGGGAGCGAGAGATTCTTCCCACACCTTTTGGAGGGTGTGATTGCCGACGGTGCGAAGTTCCTTGGCCTTTGGGAATGCCTCCGGACCGGGCACCTCCCACGGAGCGGTACTCGTGCGAGCGACTAAAACCGGGGCGGAGTACAGGCCGTAGTAGTAATACTTGGCCTCCATTTCGGATGGGCCCTGCGGCGAGGGGATGTCTGGTTTAGCGGGAGAACCGCTGGTATGGATACCCGGGAAAGCAGGGGAGCAGTGGGTCTCCTGCTCATTAGTTAAGGTAGCCGCCATGTATAAGGTATCAGTGAAAGTAGAGAGAGAGAGGACAAGACGAGAAACTGAGGAGGCAGTCTGGGTAAGGTCAGCCACGGAACCCCTAAGCTGGGCCGCTCCTCTGAGATCTCGATCTTATCTTACCTTACTTATTCGTATGTTTTCCGTCAACGGATTATTCGACGACGACAAATTACAGAACTTGTAGCTGCATTTGAGGACGCTTATATGCGCTAGAAGTAGCTAGGTAAGGCAGGGTAGGGGCTTGTGGTCGTTCTGGCGGACCGTGGTACTATAAATTCCTGCCAGACATCGAACGGCAGCGCCGCCGAGCAGCGCAGGTCGGCGAGCAGTTCCAGAGCATCATCTACGCAGGTCGCAGCTCCCTCCGACTCGAGGTCTCCGAATGGCGAGCGCACAGTAAGCAGCTCGAGCTTTGGCCAGACCTCGCAGCCTTCCATCGTGCTTGCAATCCACGGCTCCAGGTAGTGCATGACGATACGGTCGCTGTGCGCTGTAAGCACAAAACAGCGCAGCTCGGGGAAGGCGTCAAAGAGGATTGGCTGGACGCCGCTATTGCACAGCACGCGCGTGAAGAGCGATGACAGTCGAAGCGTGTGTAGGTTCTCGAAGGACGCCCGCAGGATGCGCAGAGCGTCCTCAAAGCCCTCGCACGTGGTCGGCGACGAGGTTGCGAATAAGAGCGTGTGTATGTGCGGGGCGCTGAGGATCAGGAAAAAGTCGGAGACATAAGGGGCGTCGTGCTCCATGACGAGGTCGAGCGTGTGTAGCGTGGGTAACACGATCTGGCCATAGTCAAGCACCTGCGTGAGGACAGGGAAGACATGGTCGAGCTTCAGGTATTCGAGCATTGGTGAAGCAAGCAACAGGTTTCTGAAAGTGACGTACGATGGAGCGGCGAATTCTCGAGGCAGATCAGCAAGGGTGAGTCGTGTGAGCCCCTTGAGCATCGGTGACTGGAATCGGAAGGAGACGCCTTCAAGGACGACACTGCTGAGCGTCGCCGGCGGGTTGTCATTTAGGATTGCCGGCAGCGGGCCCAGAGAGCACTTGTTAGTGGACTTCGCCAAGTTGATCTCGAAGTGCACCAGCCTTGGGAGTGACATCTGTCTAAGCTGGGAAATGTAGAGAAAGACGGCGAAGCCGTGATGCGCGCGCAGGTGCACCTCCCGCACGCGCTCCGGTTGTGACAGGCCAAGCGCCAGGACCTCACTAGCGATGGTCCGTTTGCTCTTGACGTGAAAGCAGAGACTGAGAGGCAAAACCGCTCCACAGCGGGCCAGGAAGTATTCTAGAAGGCCGGGACGGGAGGAATGCACTGGAATAGCAGACCACACCGATGGAGAGCGGGCTGCAGTTATCCTCCAGCCTCTGCACACATGCGAAACCAGCAAGGCAAAGGGGAGGCCGTCGTCCTGCAGCATGTCATGGGCACCTCGTTCGAATATAAGGATGAGAACCAGCTCTGGCATATTATACCAGACACTTCTGACAGCGGATGGCATGGCGTTTGTCTGGGATACTGGAATGGTTCAGTAAAGAAGCCTGTAGGTCGATGCCACAGTACGCACCCTGAAGGAAATGCGGAGATTGTGGGCGATATTTGGGCCGCTGCCAGGGCTTTATACGCCACGATGTGGGATATATGTGTCTTCTATCATCACGAGGCTGTATTGTAAAGTTCACGGACCTGTGATGCGGGCGAACCGCCTGCACTGTTCTAATCGCAATGTGATCTCTGGTTCCGACGCCGGCAGGTCTACTGCCTGCCCATCTGTCGCCCAACTTGAAGATGTACGCTGCGTCGAGAACTTCTGGTGTCTTGTCCGAAACTCTATGGATAGTGGCTGGTACCAAGTAATAGTCACGGGCGCCTGACTCCAAGTGTCGGTGTACGCAGCTGGATCTTTGCACATGGGCATCCCCGCGAGATGACGGTCTGTAAGCGAAAAGCTAAGCCAATCAGCGACTCGAAGTCAAGGCTCATCAGGACAGGGAGAGTTACGACTGGCCTCCACGTACTTCAAGTTGAGCTTGAAGCATCGCCAACATCATTTGCGGGTGGGTAAAGCCGTCGTGGCGAGACGCGCGGCGCAGAGGCCCGTGAGCCAACCCGAAGGCGCGAGATTGGTCAGGTCAGGGAAACATATGGTCGCGTTGTCAAGCGGTCTACACGCCCCGTTCGTCTACGTGCGCATATACTACATCACACATACGAGTGCAAAGGCTACACGGCAATATTGGTGTCGGCCGAGCAGTCCCCTGAACTTGTCCTTGCACGTACACGGCATGCAACCCCAGGGCCCCGCATGATGCGCAGTTGCCCATGTCAAAAAGACTCCTTAGATCTTGATGTCGACCTCGCCAACAAGTGAATCTGTACGGTCGCCGTCCGCGCTGCCATTGCATCGTGCCGTCCTCAGGTTGCGGGATACACTGGGTATACCTAGTTGCCAGCAGCTGGCGTCACTCCAGATTGATTCAGTGTAGCCACTAGACGTGACGTCTACATGCAGTAGAATGAGCAAAAATATCACCCAAAGGTATGCTATGATATGCGACATCTAGAAGTATATCGGCGGCGGAATTAATGAAGGTGCCACTACACTAGATATAAGCTACAGCGATCATGGTAGCGAAACACGAGACTGGTGATACAGAGACAGACTGACAGAATGGCTCTTCTGTCTTGATGGTATCATAGCTAGAGGTATCTGCCACAGACTGGGCTGGCGAAAGATATGGAGCGTTCCTGGAAATGTCGGCGTGGCTAAAGCGAGAGCTAAGAGGGCTCAGCGCATCGTCCAACACTATACGCACCTTGGTGTCCCCGTGGGTTCCATTACAACTTTCCCCACAACTCCCACGTCATCTACTTCGTCGTCTGCAATTTCGGCCGTGGGACCAACTGTCTCACTGATGTTGGGATGCTCGCTGAGCCACGTGCGTCGGAGGCGCTCCATCTTGAATATCTCTGGATGGTAGGCCAGAGTTTGCCAGTGGTTATCAGCAGAGTAGCTGACTTCTTCACCTGAAGCATCCACGGTACATCAGTTAACGGGCTTGGTAGAGCGGTACACTGCCAGCCTACGTAAATGTGGAAGTCTTTCAAAGAAGGCATCAGCGACCATGCCCGAGGATAACTCGCTGGGTGACTGAGCAGACGACGCTTCTTCAGGACTCATCTCATTTGCATCAGTTCGTTCGTCCGTGCTGTGCGCTACGTATTATCAAGATAATGTCACACTTGCGACGAAGGTTCACCACGCACCAATTGATTCAGGGATTTGTGCAGTATCTGCACTGGGCGGCTGGCTAATAGACTTGCCACGTTTCTTCGTAGCTGAAGCCATATTTCCGTCTTCAACTCGGATGGGAGGCACCAAACGCAAGCCGTCCAAAGCGGAAGAGTCCAGCTGCTCGAGGATCGACAGGGCAAACCGTGAATACATGAGTTCGGCAGGGACATTTTCTGGAACGGCGAGAGGAGCGTCCTTGACATAGGCGGCGTTGTTCACAGGGAACAGAAAGTGTACCAACACATCACCATCCTTCACCGCAAATATGAAACAGTGTTGATCAAAGAGTTGATGAAGATCGGCGCGGAGGGTTAGTCCGTTGCTGGTAGCGTTGATAATCTTCTTCTTGAGTTTGTAGTCGTGAATGTCGTTATGGCAGGTGTACACCCACATCTTGTTGTTTCTATACCACTCAGCATACGCTTGGGGGATGATGTGACAACTCTGAACCGCTTTTTACGTATGATAGGAGTGAACAAATAATGCAGATCAGTGGCAAAGGCGACTCACCTCCTTGGAACCCAGTGAGAAGACAACCGCCGTCTCGCATTCGTACTTGAATTCCCATCTGGGTTGGTTCATACTGAATGGAGGCTACTGGGCCTATTTGCGGCAGTGTGTTCGAGCTGATAGCGTTGGCCCATCGGGGTGGGACACCTGGAAAGCGCCATGCATCGAAAGAGGGAACGACGGGGTACGGGTCGACCATGCCATCGACAATGAAAAAATAACAACCAGGTTCAAGGTAAGTTGTGTTCGGTACACGGCCTTCGGACCCGCGGGTGGCAGAAATATAGCCAGGTTTGTTATCCGCAATGATAGAGGCTGCTTCAAGTATCACAGGGAAATACACCCCCCACAACTCTACGTCTCCCGGGATGCGGTCATAGGCGGGGAATGTGACCAACGGCGGCGATGTCGGCAGGCTATTAGGATGGTAGAGCCTTACGAATGGAACCGGGTGTGGAAGTTCACGCTCAGTGAATGTGATTGGCACTGCGAGCGTCATGGTTGTTGCCGAAGGCGTTGCTTTGACCCCAAGATAGCGACCACTAGGAATGGGCACCATTACGTAAGTAATAATGTCCCCTCTTCAGACAAGTTCGAGTTGAAACTCGCAGATACCCCGAAATACATCTGGTTGGTATCAGGATCCGTAGCTTGTTACGAAGCCGATCTGGAAGTAGAGTGTAGCTCAGAAGGACATGGACAAGTCTCGAACGCATCGAGCTCTTTAACGTCTTACGAGCCTTCGAAACGTAACGCGTAAAGTCTTCCAAGCACTCGCAGAAGGGCATGACAGAGTAAGCACTCATCAAACGACAATACATCGAGACATTGTATATAAATATAATCTTCAACACACGGAGTGAAGTGGTCAGGACAGTTATAAAGCTACTATGGCAGGAAGCACGTAAGTTTGGGGCCGAACCGACGGGGTAATGCGTTGCGGGAAAAAAAAAGAAAAGGATTATAGTACCGAAGAAGCCAGAAAACTCAATGCCGATCGATTGAATACCGTTCGAAAAGGAGGTGTGACTAGTTTATAACCGGCGCTGTCGCGTAAAATGTTGGGAGTGGTGAAGCGGAGCACATGCAGGACGGTCTGAACAATGCAGGGAAGACAAGGATTGGGGAGAAGCACAGGGCGTTTGTGGATGGAGGGAAGCAGTGTTCGAGATATACATAATAAGGATACTGTGCATAGCAGGGTGGGATGGGCATGGGACAGGCAGGCGGGGAGGCGAGACCGAGCATAAATATAGTGGCGGCCGGGCAGGCGACAAGGCACGTGTAGCTTGTAGCGGTGAAGGGCCGGCAGGGCGAGACAACGAAGCGGACGTATAATGCGTGTTTGCGCATGGGCGTTACGGTAATGGAGATCACTGCACGTTCATCAAGAAGCTTGATTATAACGAGGTCTGGATGACGATCATGGAGCTGTCAGATCCAACCGCAGTGAGACAAGTGTCGGGGTGATACACACATTTACTTTTGGTGATTACCGCACGACGCTATTCGAGAAGTTAAGCAGCAGGATGGCGTCGTCGACCTTGACGCCTGTGGTCTTCTCGATATCGGCGAAAGACAGCGCGCCGACCGCGACCGAGATATCTCGGCGAGCTGGCGAAACGTAGTCGGCCAGTTTCTGAGACTGCGACGCGCCCACGGGCACGGCGGGATATGGCGAGGATAGTGGGGATGGAGTGACCGCCTCCTGGAAATCTTCCTCGCTGGCCATGTCTGATGATCGAGAGTTAGACGCGTGCGTGTACATCCGGTTGCGAGAATCTTCGGTGTGCAGCTTGGGCCGGAACCTCTCACGAGCGAAGGCTCTGTCCGTCACCATGTAGTCCTCAGAAGGATCCACAGAGATCGGCGAGCCTTCTCTTGAGACATTCCTAGAGGGGTCGTTGTAGCTCGACACATCGTCGTCCTCCTCAGAGCCAGAAACCTGCTTCGACCGTTTGCGCGAAGACTGTCGCAGATTCCTGAACCAGTTCGTGACCTTGCCGACATCCATGTTGATCTCGAGAGCAAGTGCACCGCGCTCCTCGATAGAGGGCGTCGCTGTCCGCTGGAAGAGTTTCTTGAGCGCTTCAAGTTGGTACGGCTCGGGCCGAGTACGGCGAGAGCGACTGCTGACTGAGGAGGCGCGCTCAGTCATCACTGCGCTGTAGGGGCTAGGACGGGGCGACGAAGCTCGGCTGTCCATGAGAGAGACTGTACTAGGCGAGCGCCTTGCCCTGGGCGGCAGAGGGATACTAGGCAGGGAAGGATGACCCTTAGTGGGTGGGACCGCAAGGGACGGGTGCGCAACACTGGAAGACGGCGGGAAAGACGAAAAGGTATGTCCTCTCGACGACGACGCGCTTGGCGTCCCAGACGCAGCGGCAGCTTCCTCGTCCTCCTTACGCTTTTTCGCAATGCTACGTTGGTTCTGAAACCAGTTGGTTACGCTTTGATAGCGCCTGATAGGAATAGGGTGATGTGAGTTCCGGAATTCTGTCCGCGTGGGAGACAATTGAACTTACATTCCAATTCGAAGTCCGAGCTCTTCTCTTTCCTCCTTTGAAGGGTGCTGATTCGCATCGTAGAGTTTCCGAAGCTCCTCAGTTTGGGCGGCAGAAGGGCGTGAGCGGCCTTTCCGAGGCATGCTTGTCTCTGAGTCAAATAGATGGCGATGCCGAGGGTTACCTGCGTAGAACGCCGATTGCTGTCGGTGGTGAACCAAGTGCGGTAGCCTATCCGAGTAGTCATCCTCAGAGAGTTCATCGTACTCAAAGTGGGCACTTGGATGCGCGCTTGGCGGTGCAACTGAAGCAAGCAGCGTCGAGATGGGAGGCAATTCGCACTGTGCATTGTTTTCTCTGCTATTGGAGCTGTTGATGGCACCGCCAGCCTTTGTTGACCGTTTCTTGGTCGAAGCTCGCTTGTTCTGGAACCAAGCGTTGACCGTCTTGACCTCCCTGTAATCCGTCAGAAAAAGAGTAATCAGACGCCCATAACGACAAAGAAACAAAAGTTTGGAGCACTGACATGCCTAGCTGCTCTGCCAGCGACGTTCGTTCCTCGAGCGCCGGGTGCTCGTCTCTTTCGTACAGCTCGTTGAGTGCAGCAAGTTGGTATGCGGAATGCCGATGGCGGGGCTTCTTGGGCTTGTCCTTGGAATCATGGTACGACGATGAGGGCTGTGGTAGCCGTTGCGACTCTTTCAGGGCAGCTGGTGTTGATGTCGGCGACTGCGACCAGGAATCGTATGAGGGTACCATGGCGAGGATAGGATGGACGTCGGGGTATTAGATGGTGGTACGGAGACAAGAGGAACGGCCGGAAATGAAAGGGGGATGGAGCTGTACAGAGAGCTGACAGCAGCAGCTCGGCAGGGAAATTTCATTGAGGTGCTAATAACCAACTGCAGCTGCCAAATCCGTCTATTGTCTCACGCAACCATAATTTGCATCATAAACACTCCGTAACCCCGAATTCGGCCGCCCTTCGCAGCTGTTGTATTGCATCCGACAAACGGTGCCAACTACACTCGCTCGGTGCGTCGACGCTATCGTTCACGCTCCTGCTCATATGCGAGGTATATATCCCGACGCTGTGCGGTGTGCAGAGCCTCCGAGAGCGCTGGGACACGATCAACGGCAGATATTACTCATGGTTCACCGCTCCCGGGGATGATGAAAATGAGCAGTTGCATGATGTGTGAGCTGTGGCAGCGTTGGCCTGTGCGTGCCTGTCCGCTCAATTCCTAGTCTCCCCCACGTGGAGCCGTGCAAACGCTTCCCGCTTACGGTATTACGCTGCTTATGATTATGGGCGTCAACGCCATAGCAATCACGCTCAGTTTCGGCTTGGGGAATCATACTCAAGGTCTTGGCAGTCCGACGCGGTACCCGAGAATGGTTCTGTTCGTCGTGTGCACACGCAGAGACTCTCGCCCCGTCGCGAAGGAATGCGCTGCTCAACTTACGCCTAAAGTCCCCCACGACCTGGGCATCGAGCACCGGACTATCTTTGAGCTCGCACAAGCTCAACCTTCCGTGACCTTCTGCCTCGCAATGACGTGTCTCTGCGGTCACACTCTGCTATTTCCGCAGACCCATCAGAGTTTGCACCCGTCCGCGTGTCGCCTATTACGAAGTCTTTGCCTGGAGCTCCGGTACGCAGTCCTAACGCGAGCACTGCCTGTCAAACATGACCCAATTAAATCTTTCTTCCATACCATTACTCGGTGTAATAACGTTATAGCAACAGTTCGTGCAGACGAGCAGCTCAGAAATTCCAGACATGACGAGGTACAGCGTCCGGGGCTTGATTGATCTCTTCCATAAATATCTTAGTGCTGTGCAGCCCTTTCCCGTTAGTGTTTGAGTAGAAGTGTGTTGTCCAGCCTCCGACAACCCTCACCGCCGCTCTCCTCGTACGTCCTCTTCACCAAAGTTCTTGATCCAAGCGCCAATTGCTCCCCTTGTAACGCAAATAAGGAAGCATTAGTGTCGTCAACATGTCTCACCTGAGATGCAGCGAAACTTACAAGAACCCTTCGTGTCGGAGGAACAGCGCTCTTTTGGTTCCTTTACTCCAGAACCTGATAGCGTACGACAGAGTGCTGATCGTCGCAGCATGGCCTGAGAAGGACAGATTTAGCTGTGCCCACGATCACACCGGTTTGATGACGCACCCCGAATAAAGCATCCTCCAAAATATATCCGATCTAGGCCATACTTCTCGGCGTTCATGTACCTATGAGACAACGTCAGTCAGTCAAGTAGCGAGATGAAACCATAGCGTCCAGTCACGTACGCAATCTGGCCAATGTTATTTGACACAGCGTATAGCAGCGACTTGCTGATGTCCTCCGCCGAGAATGTACCCTTCTTGCCACTCTTTTTTGAAAAGACCTTGCCAAATGAACTCGCGATCATGGTCGACTTGAGACCGAGTCGGCTGTAGTCTTGCCCATAAATGTCACCGACGAGCATGTCGACTGTTGCATTATCTCCCTCTTCGGAAAGCGCGAGCATTTCTGGCATCGGCTATCATTAGCTGTCGTTCATAGGCACAAATAGCACATACCGTCGAACGTTGTTGCAGGCGTCAATAGACTGAGAAGTCCCCACAGAGTTCCTCCCCCAAGACTCGTCCCGCTCACACGTTCAAACGAACCGTCTTCGTCAACTCTAATGATTGAAACACCCGAGCCGATGTTGACGAGAAGGCAGGGTAGTTGCGGTGTGGGGTTCGACTCGAATGAGACAGCGTATTTTGGGGGATCGGGACTCGGCCGCTCGTAGACTCCATCCTTCCCGTTCAAACACCCCTTCGTCGAATGCGAAACCGAGTGTATGAGCTCGTCTGAGAAGTAGTAGACCTCGTCCGGGATGAGCGTGATGAACTTGAGGCCCTCGATGAGACACTCCATCTCGTCCTCGCGTCGGACTTCGACGTGCAACTGGTCGGAGAAAAGCTCGTGAAACCGGTGCGCACCGCCGCCGGTCGCCATGATCTTCACGCTCTGGCGCATCTCCTCGATAGACACGCTGTTCAGCTGCGCCGAGCGTTCGATGAGCGACTGGATGAACTCGACGCAGTCGTCTATGTGTTCCGTCTCAAAGCGTTCAAAGTTGAGGGACCCGCCCGGGAAGTGCTGCACCGAGGCTCGTCGTAACAGCGACTCGTGCAGCGCACTGTGGTCGAGCTGATCCAGCGCAGCGAGTCCGTTCGCCGTTGGTGGGTGGCCATTGCCGTGGTGCGAACCGTCTAGGATTGCAGGAGTAAGAGCACCATTTATTCTTGGGTTGGGTGGAGAGCTGGAGAGCGGATTGTCTCGTGGTGGCGAAGAGGAAAGGGGACTCGAGGAACCTGGTGTGAAGGCATCACCGACCGTGCTCGATCCTCTTGTCGCTACTATTGATGGCGAAGCAGGTGGGTCGGGCGAACGGGTGAAGTACACGACTTTGGCTAATGACCCGCCAATCTGTAAAAGCCGCGACGTTCGCTTTCTGCAAGACACAAGCCGAAATTAACACTCACGTCCACGGCAATATGCGACACAGGCTCGACATAGTTTGGCAGATAGATCCCTCTACTATCCCTGGTCTGCGGAACGCGCCAAACGTTAGCGAACGCCCACACGACATGCCCGACGCAGCTCGGGAAACACAGAGACGTACCTCTGGGGACCCCTCGTCAAGTATTAGCGCACCCCGGGTGTCGACCTGGATTGCTTTCGCAGTGGGGAGTGACGGCACTGACATCACAGATAGCGTGGGTTTATCACGAGTGGCGGTTGTGTGCTCGGGGGTTTTGATGCATACAGTAGCCTTAAGGCCGCAAACGGGGACCAGGCCTGGTCGTGCGAGTTAGTCGAGGATAATGCGGGGGTGGCGAGAGGCCAGCAGCTGGTCTAAGTAATAGGCTAGCGATGTGCGCAGTTCGGTTGCCACTCTGCGTGTATGTACGAAATTGCGGGGGCGAGTGTGTAATGGAGATCTAGCTAGCCGTCCACGTCAAATGTCGTGTAAGATTTGTGGCAAGGTATGGTACGACGGAGGCCCTGGACAGCATCATGCCGTTGGGGATGCTCTCTACAGATCATTTGACTAGTTGCGCTTGTCCGTCTCGGATGTCCAACCTAGCCGGCTGGCCGGTCTCCCTCGGAGTCTTCTCCCCGTTCCGCATCCTTCTCGTCGGAGCCGCCCCAAGCGACGATCCCACTCCTTCCGGCTTTACATAGAAAGAAATTCGCAATATTCCACAGTCGAGAATAAAACACCAGGTGACAGAACCCACAAGCTTTCTACATAATTGCCGCAACAACCAGACTTGCTGACTCCTGCTTTTCTGCCCGAACACCCAGCTCCAGGGCAACGCCCTGCCCCTTTGAGTAGGTCATCCGGGACCGCACGAGCACCTTGCCTCCTCCGCCCGCGACAAGGCCTGACAGCTGCAGCGTATGCACGGTCGACGACTGGGGATCTTCGCTCCCACCGAGCGGCTGCATATTCAAAATCTCTATGATCGAATCGCACGCAGCTAGAGAAAGACATCCGTCAACTGTTTGCCCCTGACGCGGCATGATGGCCATGTGCTCACCCTTGAGAGATTCCATCGCTGGAAGTGAAAAGGTTTCTGTAACGTTGACCCCACCACGCATGCGATCCCACTCGGACGCAAATGTAACGTACGTCGGCACAACGTAGTCTGCTGCCGACAGCTCCGAATCCTCCAACTGGTACTCGTCTTCGTACCCTTCCGCCTCCGGCTCTCCCGTCGACGGGTCCACTTCCTTGCTCACAAACTTGAGTACGCACGAGAACGAGCCCATCGGGTACTCGTCTGGCGTGTCCCGTGTGAAGGAGTAGTACATGATGCTGGGCGAATTGGACGACGACAGCTGCGGGATCGGCATCAGGAAATCTTCTGTCAGCCCTGTTTCGCCCTGTGCTTGCATGACAACGGACACTTGCTCCAGAACAGTATCTGGGATTGTGTTCGACACGTTGAACTGCAGAATAAATCAGCCGACTTTCGTTCCTCAAGGCCAGTTGAATACGCAGAACACGCACCTGGAAGACAACATGCTCCTTGTAAATGTGCTTGACCACAGATACCTGATACTCGGTCTCGTTTTCTGTAAGCTGTGCAGGTTTAGTGCTGCTGTTGAGCACAGGTCCGTAGGATGCAAATTCTGGCACCTCTGCCAGCTGTTGGGCGTAGGCAGATTGAGTCTCTGCGGCTGTTGGCGGTGGCGGCGTAGCGGTCCTAGATGTACTGGGCGCGCCCAGTGTCTCGAGCGTACTTGGTCCTGCATTAGACACGTCAGGAAACGAGCGGAAAAAATAATCGTGATGTACGCACGGGATGCTTCTTTGGCTGCCTGCGCGCGGCTAATCTTAGGGATCGACGACACGTCAAATGGTTCTGCGACTGCCTCGGGGTCGCTGATGTAGGACACAAGTTTGGCCTCAAGGGCGGATAGCGAGAAGACAGATTCTGCCGAAAATATTTAGTGATGGCCCAAAACTCTTGACGTCTGCTGACCCACCTTCTTTGACGTAGGCCTCAGCCAGTGGCGGCTCCTGGTAAACCTTCAGATACATAGCCGCACGATCTCGGACCTCGTCATCGACATCGTCCAGGCATCTAATTGGGCAAGTAAGTATATGGAAACTTGGAGGGGTAGACAGGCTTACCGGTTAAGAAGCACTTTGATGCTCTTGCTCAGCTTCTCGTCAAGACCGTTAAGACCAAATTTAGCAAGGCTCGACACAGCCGCAGCGCGCACAGTGGCATTCTCTAAAACGACACGATTATAGATATAACGGATATACTTAGCCGGCTGCGACGACTTCGGACCCTCGACACCAAGAAGATGCAAGATGCGGACAGAGAGCTTCGTGAACTCGCAGTCCTCAATAAACTCGCATAGATGGGAGAGTGCCTGCTCTTTGCAGTCGCCGATAAACTTTATCATGTCGAACATGGCTTCGACGACAGCGCGCTTGAAGTCATATCCACCCTCGTCACGGAGAACACCAGAAAGGAAGGAGAGCATGGATGCGTGCTTGGCAGGGAACTTGAGGCACAGCGAACGGATAGCATCGACGATGATGACCCTGAACTCGTCGCTGATCTCACTCATGAAGCCAGTAATCTGCTTGATGAGACGATCGACTGAAGCCTCGTTGCCGGTCTGAAGACTAGTCAGCACGAGAGCCGAGTGTATACTAATGTCTATACACACCTTGAGTAGAGTGGTGATAGCGTAAGTCGCAACACTGCGATTGGCATCAGAGATAAGCTGCTCGAGCTCGAGATTGCATGTCGCAACAGCAGTGGGATGCATGAGAGCCAAGCTGGCGAGCGTACGTGTAGCCGCAAAGCGCAATGAGGACTTCGGAGACGATAAGAAGAGTTGCAAAACTAGTTCTCTGTGATTAGACTCTACGCAGGGATACGCAAATTCCTGACGACTTACCGGCGATGGGTTTCTGAAGCTGTGCGGCTGTGACATTCTTCATCTCGCAGATGACACGAGCGGCCTCCAGGTTAACCATGTCACTCTTGTGGCGTAGCCAGCCCTCAATGAGGTCAAGCATCTGGCGCTGCACGCTGCAATGACGAATTAACAGAGGATTAGCAATTATACATGCCTGGCACTTACTTAGGGTCCTCCTCCATAACCTTCGCCGCATACCGGATGAGCATACACAGGGCCATCGGGTTCTTCAGCACCGTGCCGGAGCCTGTCTTGCCACCGCCAAGCTGCTGGATCATCTTCGTGACGGCCATACGATCCTGCTGGCGGATAAGGTAGAGAAGGCCGAGGGCATGGTACTGTGTGACGTAGCTGGTCGACGGCATGGTCTGGTATCCACTGTTGCTTGAGGAAGACGAGCTGCCCCAACCAAGATATGAATTGCCGGCAGTGCTGCCTCCGAAGAAACTACCAGAAGACTTCGCGTTGACGGCCTCTTGCGCTTCGTTTACCCAACGCTTTACAACGTCTTTTGCGGAGGGGAATAGGTGGTATGCCGAGACAAGCGCAGCAGAGGAGATCGATGTGTTCTTGTCCACAATTGCAGCCTTGAAGAACCGTTCTACACCTTGTGCCATAGAAGGCTGTACGGGACCATTGGATTATCATCATGCAGTCGGCTGAGCATGGTCGGACATACGTCTATGATACGGCACAGCGCACGGATGGCGTTCGGTCGGTAGATGACCTCCGAGTTGGGCTGCATGTCCTTCATGATACTGCTCGTCACCATAATAACGTCCTCCGCGGTCGTGGCGAGCTCTTTGATTGCCAGGTATACCATTTGACGGAGCGCACTCTGGCAATTTTATTCGTCTCAATGCGAAGCGAGCGACGTCGAGCATGGCACTCACGTCCTTGTGCTGAAACAATTTGGTAGTCCCAAAGAACAAAGTAGTGGCCTCCTGTGTGTTGAATGTCTCGCCAACATAAAGCAGGTAGACGATGCGGGTGAGGAGTGCCCTGCACTTCCGTGGGCTAACAGGTGTATCATTGAAGACGCGAGCCTCTTGAATTACTGTAGTCTTGTTGTTGTAGTACGCGCTGAGGCCGCTCTCCTCATCCTTTTTGCTAGTCAGAGACATGGTATCAAGAGGGAGGGTCAAGGCTATAAACGACCGCGACGTGGTCGATGCGACGTGCGGTATGGACTTGCTCGCTTTGGAAGGTGTTTCTCACGCTTACATAGGCACAATTGCGGCCACAGATATAAGCATTCAGACAGAAAGGTTTGCGGGACACATCCATAACATTACGAGACCAGGATAGACTACTACTGCACACGAGTCCAATTCTTCAACGAGTGGGTTACTTGGCGTTACTATGTGACTTCCAATCGCAGACGAAAGTACGGCGCCGGGGGTGGAATACGTCCATCGCGAGGTATCGACGGAGGGCAGGTAGACAATAAGGAAATGAGGCCGTGAAGTCATGGACGAGTCGTTAGAGCCAAGTTGCCGCCTGTCCGTGTGGTGCTTCTACCCCTCGAGCTCGCCTCCGGGCAACCCTCCAACTACATCGCGGCGCCCTCTCCCTTCCAACGCGCCTCAACAGGTCGGCCTGCAGAGTGGAAGAAGGGAGGACAAAAAACACAAGAGCAATAACTGGGGGGATATGGATGGGAATGAACAAGCAGGAAAGAGGTGGAAGGAATGTGTGCTATACGAGGGATGAGAGTAGACGAATGAGACGACAATGGTACAGAGATTGGGCGGCAAAATTACTACTAAGAAAAAGGAGCCGCCAACAAGACGACCAATACGGCGCAGGGGGATTGAACAATAAACGCGATAGAAGGACGAGGCAGTCCCAAGGTCCACGAGAGTTGCGCGGACAGCCCCACGCAGCGAGCGCGGAAAAGTTGAGACCTGAAGAGAAAAAGCGTCCGTATTGAAGGATAATTAAGGCCCATATGCGTCCGGTAGTTGTGGAGTATCTTCATCGAGCTTCGATCCCAATCCCCAGTGTAATAACGTCGATGGCGAGTGCACGGCGCATAGGAAGATCGCTGGCTAGCGAACTTCGCTTGAACTGCGGCACCTTAACGACGGTGGCGATCGCGATGTCCTCCCAAATTGCTCGACGTCCGCCGCACTGACTGGACGAGACGAAATACCCGCACGACTACCGGACTCCGAATGCGACGACACAGATCCATACCGAGCTACCATTCACCTGCCCCCCACCCCCCAACGCTCGGCGTGCTCCGGACGTGCTAGCAAACAAACTCCTTACCACGGACAGGAGTCATTTACCACATGTCACCATCACGTCCCCTCCGCTGCTGACCCACGGCACCAGGCACCATGCCAGCCTGCTGCTGCTGCTGGCGAGTATGGGAACGCAACCTAACGTAGTGTGAGATCAGCCAAGAACTGATGAGAAGGGAAATGATAAGCACCTACATCCTGTCGGTACCACGGTGGTCCTCCTCCTGAACCACCTTCCTCCTCCCAGCGACCTTGGAGCTAGAGCTTTGACCTTGCTCCTCCATCTGACCCCGCTGAACGCTCCAGTCGAAGACGTAGTCGTACTGGTAGCCCTCGCGGACGAAGAGGTCGCGGAACAGCTTGCGAAGGTAAGAATAGTCGGGCTTGTCGTCAAAGCGGAGAGCACGGGTATAATTCAGAAAGATGCCGAACTCGTTGGGGAAGCCGCGGCAGAGCAGGTCAGTGGGGGTTGTCATCTTCTTCTCCATGATGCGGTCGTACTTTTGCTTCTTGGTCGCGGCCTTGAGACCCTGCCAAGGAAGCGAACCACGGAGGAAGTACATGAGGACGTAGGCAAGGGACTCCAAGTCATCACGGCGGGCCTGCTCGACGCCTAGATGCGTGTTGATGGAGGTGTAGCGAGCGGTACCAGTCAAATTCTTGTTCTCCCTGTACGGGATGTGGAGATGGGTCTTGGGGTCCCTAAACTTCTTCGCCAGACCAAAATCGATGACGTTAACCTGGTTTCCACGCTTGCCAATGCCCATAAGGAAGTTATCGGGCTTGATGTCACGATGAATGAAGTTGCGAGAGTGGATGTATTCTATGCGGGAGATCTACCAGACGATGTTAGCGGCCGCTGAGAGGACAAATAGGAGCAGATGCAGCCACTAACCAACTGGTCGGCAAGAAGCAGGACAGTCTTGAGAGTGAATTTGCGATTGCAGAAGTTGAAGAGGTCCTCGAGAGAAGGACCGAGGAGATCGATGACCATCGCATTGTAGTCGCATTCGGTACCAAACCAACGGACGAACGGAACACCGACACCGCCTGCAAGGGTCTTGTAGACCTTGGACTCGTACTCCAGCTGGGGATGCTTAGCCTTAACGGACTCAAGCTTGATAGCTACTTCCTCGCCGGAAATGATGTTGATACCGAGATAGATGTCGCCTGTGGCGACGGTGTCAGACCTACAGACATCAAACCATCCGCAATTACTCACCAAAGGAGCCTGAGCCTATTTTTTTCCCTAGACGGTACTTGCCTCCAACTCGCAAGTCCAGTTTTCCATGCGCAGACGGGTCCGACATCGTGATCTTCTCGGAGTGTGAGAAGTCTGTAAGGACGTGGCAGTCAGAAAATCGTCTCTGGCGTCACTGATAAAGCAGATAAAGAGAAAATATGATCTAATAAAACGAATATAGTTATAAAAGTCTGGGGTGTGTAGAGCCGCGGTGGATGTTCGAATCGATGACAAGCCTGACACAGCCTCGGGCGTAGTCCGGCCGTCGCACTGTTGTCCAGCAGAGCACAAGTATGGCTACTAAATCGATGCCGCTTGGCTGACGTATGCGATTTAGAGGCTAAATGCTGGAGGCAGGAAAGGATGTGGTCTTGGAGTAGCCTCGAGGCACAGTTGCGAGTGATCTGATCCTGCGGAAGCTTCAGAGGGAGGAAATTGAGACTCTCACAATTACAGCCTGAGAAGTATTTGGGGTAAAGAGTAAGAGAGACTCGTGAGGAAAGTGTGGAAGGTCGTTTGAGAGGGGAGAGTGGTGGAAGATGAGAAGAAAGAGGTGTGCTGAGGACAACAAGAGGCTGGCAGGAGGAGTCGTCAGGCGTTTCAGCGTGGGAATTGTTAATGCCAGGCGGAGTTTGATCCACTTGTTAGCCCGTTACAAATTTGCTAGTAGACGCTATTAGCTCTTGTATTAGCCGGCTCCCAGCGTTTGTTACTGGGGGGTATAGGTACTAGATTCTAAGATTACCAGCAGACCTCCTTTCTTTTGCCCCTTGCTTGACCAACCCCCCTTCCTCCGAACGCCATTTAACAACAGTCATGATGGCCAACCGCATAATGAGCGCCCGAGCACCTTTCCGCACACAGACATTAGTCTGGGTTATGTATGACATTTTTGGGTCTTTTAGATGTTACAAAAGTATGTAAGGTGCTGTATCTGTATACTCTGAAGTCAATAAGGGCAGTAGCGGGCCGAGGATCATTATCTGACCCAGGCTTATCGAAGCGGTAATCAGGCGCCTAAAGTTTCGATTATCTTATCTAGAACCTAACCCTAAGTCAGCAGCACAATATAGCGAGTACAGCATGACTTGTTCTCACTAGGTTATATTGATCATAACTAGGTTAGCAGCTGATAATATATACATTTAGTAAAATAACTACACAGGAGGGCAAGGTCAAGCACACCTGCAACGACTCCGACGGCAAGGGGGCCCAAGCCCCGACGCGCTGATGGAAAATAGGCGCCTAACGCCGCCATCGCTGTTCACCCCACCGCCTGGCCTGCCAACGATGATTGACATGCTTCATTTGACTTCTAACCTCGTATACATGCAATATTAATCGATTATTTATGCTGAAAATGCTCGAGTGTTCAGAGTAAGAGGCGCCAGTGCACTCGGAGGTTGGTGGTGTACGGCGGTTATCCGAGCGCTGATGGTATCAGATTTGGGTTTCTGACTTGAATTTGACCTGAGCCTGCTCGGCAACCGTAGACGCGCAAATACTGTCTCTGAAATATATAACCGTCCGCCATTTTCCGCATCCTCTCTCAACATCTATTCGTCAATAAGTGCGTAGTGAGGTGTGCCGTTGAGCGCAGTAGCATCACGCCACATAATCCATATTAAAAACAAGATGTATATATGCTGACCGTTGCAGCCAAGAACATGCGGTACGTATACACCTCGCAATGTCCCGTTCGCGTCAGGATATCGCCCTGGGAAACGTTGCAAAGTATCAACCGAAGAAGAATCAGAAACAGACGACGTGATGTCGGCAGATGAGCTTGCCGGTGTTTTGCGCGTGCATTCTTGCACGACTTTCAAGTAAACGCGGCGAGCAACTACCGTGCTGAGAGAGATGTGCCGTTTGCTAGGACAAGCGTCGGCCAAATCAAAACCACCGGGCGGCCGGTGATACATTCAATAGCTTCAGAGTTCGTTCGTACGCAGGTTGTGGAGTGAGCATCCGAAGTGTGGCCCAGAACCGGTGGAAGCTCGGGGCGAGAATCCATGATATTGACGTAGTGGAAGACTGAAGCGGCAGGTATGCACGGGCGCAGTCGCCTCCCTCTAGTCGACTAACGCTCCCTCGCGAGCCCGTCTGGCCCAATAAGAATGACACAGCAGAGACAGCGGCAGGGTAACGCATTTTGTCTTGGCGGGCGCCGAGGCTGCACAGCATAATGGAGAACGCCTGAAGCTGAAGGTCCTTGTGAGGATCAGGCTCCCGCAGTTTTCTCGCGGGGTCGTCCACATGGATAAACGTCGAGCACCTGAGACTCTTCGCCTTGGGTACAGCGGCGCTCCGTAGCAACGCTTTACTTGGGTTTTGGGGATTTGACCCGAGCCTGCTCGGCAACCATAGCATCTGTTGCCGGGCGTCGGAGCATATATCGAATTTTGATGGCAGAACGGGTGCTACGCTCCGGTTGCGAGCCCGCGGTTCTGTCTTTGCCCTCCGTCCCGACCAGCTTCGAGATTGATACCCTTTCTCGTGCCCTGACAGTCCACCCGAGCTCGTCGTCGAGCAGTCCATTCCTTCACTGTCTCTCGTTTACGCCGTGCAGGTCCACTTGCCATGGCCTATCACCAGAGTCCCTACGACAACCACGGAGTCGCTCCTGACTACCCTCCGGTTGCCCAGAATGTGTCCCCCGGCGGGATACTTCCACACTCCCAACACTCCCAAGGCTATCAGGACCAGCCGCAAGGCTACTATCAGGAATACGACCAGTGGGATGGCAAGTCGACGAAATCCTACCAGAGTACCTTCGCTGGATCCCAGGTACACCTCAACCCCAGCCAGCATGAAATGGCACAACTTCACAATGGCGTCCCTGTCCCAACCATGCCTTATCAGCAGTCCTACCCGCCCATTCAGCAACACCTTCGGCCCCAGATGCCAATAGGCTTGAGCTCTGGCTACACGGATGCCCGCGAGAAGCTCATGAAGCGGCGGTCGGTGCGCCAGATCGAACTACAACAAGGAAACCTTGTGCTGGACGTGCAGGTTCCCACACACATTGTCCCAGCTGGTAAGAACGATGAAGAAATGACGAAGATGCGCTATACCGCTGCAACTTGCGACCCGGACAACTTCATGGCTTCCAAGTTCTCGTTGCGACCGTACCTGTACGGACGCCACACGGAACTTTTTGTCGTCATGACCATGTATAACGAGGATGAGATCTTGTTCTGCCGCACCATGAACGCGTGAGTCTGCATCCCAGCCTCCCTTGACGCGTCCCAACCGCAGATTCGGGCAGCGTCATCAAGAATATTGCCCATCTATGCAGCCGCAGCAAGTCGAGCATGTGGGGGCCCGAAGGTTGGAAGAAGGTCGTCGTCTGTATCGTCTCAGATGGTCGAAGCAAGATTAACAAGCGCACGCTGCAAGTGCTCACCCTCGTGCGTCTGGTCCTTGTCCGATTGTAGTGCGTCTGATCGTGTCGCGTAGATGGGATGCTATCAAGAAGGCGTAGCGAAAGACTCTGTCGGCGGAAAGGACGTTACTGCTCATATCTTCGAGTATGTGGCGACTCATTATGTGCACATGGTTATTTATCTCGTTATGCAGGTATACGTCACATGTCGTCGTGACGGACAGAGGAGAGGTGTCCCAAGGAGCGTGCCCAGTTCAGATTATATTCTGCTTGAAGGAACAGAACAAGAAGAAGTTGAACAGTCACCGCTGGTTCTTCAATGCTTTCGGTCCGCTCATCAAGCCCAACGGTATGCAGATTGCGCACAATGAGCCGGACTACGTATTCATGGATATGTAGTTTGTATTCTGCTCGATGTTGGTACTAAGCCGACAGGAACATCGATCTACCAGCTTTGGAAATGTAAGTTATTCATACGTCATCCGTTTCCATATTTAACCCGGGATATTTTAGGCTTCGACAAGCACAAGAACGTCGGCGGTGCCTGCGGAGAGTACGTATACATAATTATCGATGGTTCTTTTATCTTATACCTGGCTAGGATCTGCGTTGACACAGGAAGAGCATGTTCACTTCTCCTCACAAGTCCATTGGCTGCTTCGCAGAATTTTGAGGTCTGTCTGTTAATGCTCGGCACGCATCTAAAGGTATGGGACTGACGGGATGGATTCAGTATAAAATGTCGAACATATTGGATAAGCCACTTGAGGTATCATTATCTCTTTCATTTATTATCAACATCGATTCAAACATACATCTTAGAGTGTCTTTGGCTATATCAGTGTGCTTCCCGGTGCCTTCAGTGCGTATCGCTACAAAGCACTGCTCAACGGGCCCGACGGCAAAGGACCCTTAGCATCATACTTCAAGGGTGAGGAAATGCACGGGGGCTCTAGCAAGGCTGGCTTGTTCGGTACGTCATAGCGAAAATCGCTGTTGAAATGAGTGCTCACTGCGGCTCATAGAACGTAACATGTACCTCGCTGAAGATCGTATTCTCTGTTTCGAGATTGTCACGAAGAAGCGCGAAGCTTGGGTGTACGATCTTTCATATTCCATAGTAGCTGAAGCTGATCATGGTCCACGAATAGGTTGCGCTACGTGAAGAGTGCCAAAGCATCCACCGACGTTCCTACCACTGTGAGTGGACATCGACCCTGCAG